GAGCCACAACCAGAACGACCTGATCCTGTGCTAGTCTGGCTAGCCTAACCGGGCTGGTGCCTGTACCTTAGACAGTACCGTAGAAGCCAGCGAGGAGCATTGATTGAATCTCGGGCTGCAGTGGGCTGCGGTGCGGTGCACTGCGTTGCTGGGCTGGGACGGGAGTCGCTTACAGGGGCGGCAGACGTGCAACAGAGGAGAGATCCAACCCAATTGGCAATGGACCACCACTACGGGCTAAAGGTACGTACCCACTTCACCACCGCCCCAACTGGAACCTTGAATTTCATCTGTCTTTTGCATCTTCACTACTCACCTTTCCTTGGTCCGACCCTCATAAAACAACATCGAATAATCCGCTTGCGCCTCAAAATAGCTTGGCTTTCGAGAGCCTTAGTGACCTGTGCTACAATTTTTGTTATACATCATCTGCTGCGACCTTTAGCGACTCTGCGCCTTTTGCGGCGCCCTCTGGACCATGGTCGCTAAGGAATTCCTCGACTCGGACAGAGTCAACTTTCTTGTTTGGAGGTTCGTCATTACCGCCGCACTCTACGTCCCTGGCTTCCCAACCGCCGCACCGGTTCTACTCAACTGCGGCTTTTGCACTCACTGAACTTTGCGCTGATCATATATTTCTCGTCTACAGATTCCTTCTCGAAGGCAGTATGTAGCACTTCTGCGCGATCATTAGCGCCACGGTAAATCTAACCTCACTTTCTTCGCAGATTACCGAGAGACTGCCGCAAAGTTCCAAAAGGAGTGGCACGTTAAACAGCCTCACAGAGAATTCGCCTTTGCGCGTCACGTCAAGAGCCACGCATTGGTTTCAGTCATCAATCGCGGCCTTCAATACTACGCGCTGGAGCGTGAGCATGCACAGAAACTGGTAAGTCACTATGGAATTCCTCGGATGCGATGAGAGTTTCGCCTCAGCAGATGTACCCCCACCACCGAGTTAAGTTGAGTTGGGCTGTGTTTTTTGATAAGGCCAAACTTCCAAAATGGTCAGAGGCTGATATGATTCGCTACATGCAGCTGCCTCAGGATGCTTCAGCGGAAGAGGCCGAAGCGTTGCGTTTCGGCATTTTTGGACCTTTAGACGCGCATCCACAGGGCAGAATCGAGGAGGACGAGGAAGAAGACGCTGAAGGGGAGGAAGTTATTGACGAGGAGATATCAAGGAAACGACCTCAGCAAATATCGAATGGATCGCCTGTGACGAAGCGGCAACGGTTAAGCAATGGTTTGGAAAATGGCGCCGATGCACCGGCAGCAGCACCGGTGCCAGCATCAGCTCCAATGACATCAACAACAGGAGCAGGAACAGGAGCCGCGACAACAGCAGCACCGGCCTCCGTGACAACACCTATGGAAATTGACAATCAACCCGACAATCACGCATATCCTTCGCCTCTGGAGGGTGAGCAGGCACCAGAGCCAATGGTGCAAACTGACGGACCTGAACAGGGAACACAAGTTGATAAGGTCGAGGAGCTGGCTCCAGAAACGACATTTATTCGCTTGATGGACGACCAAAATGAAGGCCAAGGTCGGGGAACTACGCCATCGCCATCTTCACCTTCTGGACCTGACAACGCTCCCATCCTTTTGCAGTGCGAGTGGAACCCAAGAGACCCGTCTATCCTCGCGGCTGCTGGCACAGATGCGCTAGCCCGTGTTTGGAGTATCGCGCGTGCGGGCCCTGTTGAACCAGGACAAGATCACGTGTCACCTCAAGGCCATTCCCTACTTGACCGTGACGTACCCCGCGATACGACAGTCACAGCCCTGTCGTGGACCGCAGATGGTGCTGCTATCGCAGTGGCCACGGATTCGAAAAACCAGGCTTCGATCAATGTATGGTCAGCCGAGGGCGCCCATCTACAGTCTATGGAAGTATCGGAACCACCTATTATCAAACTCTCATGGAACCCCATCAATACCGCACTGCTCGCCATCTCGCCGGACAAGGGTGGCGCCCTTGTCACCGTGCACTACCCTCCCGCTGGAAACTCTCTGTCATATCTCCTTTCTGATCATGACATCGCGGCTACGCCCCTTGATGCTGTCTGGACTGGCGATGCAGAGTTCTTGCTGTGCGGTGGTGACTTAATGATATGCCTACAATGTACGGATACAACAATAGTTCAAGCCAGAAAATTTGAGACCAAGGAGGACGATAGTTTTACTCAAGTGCTTTTTGATGCACGATCAAGGCTGGCTGCTACGTCTAGCGACAAGGGCATACTAGATGTGAGACTTTTACCTTGCTCACTTGTCGAACAGAGATGCTGACTGATTTAGCTATGGGACGAAGTTGGACAGCGAAGGTCTATCTCAGCACACCAAGGCGCCATCACTACGATGCAGTGGCAACCTATTCCCGAGAATATCCAAGGAGCTGAGGACGAACGACTGATCGCAACTGGAGGAGACGACTGTGCTATACTGATTTGGAACGCTCGAATGCCCAAGAGCAAACCAAAGTGCTTTTTGACCATGGACTCCCCGATCATGAAACTCGCCTTCACTCCGGATGGCGCTTTTATCGCAGGCGCAACGTCGATGCAGGTCTTGATTTGGAAAGTTGGAAGCCACGCCGTTCCTCGAGCAAGCTGGAGTAGACCAGTGCACCCTGGCTGGCTTAGCCCCAAGGCTAACACAGATGCCGACGAGGAAGATGAGCACTGCTTGTGCTGGGATGCCGATGGCCAGAAGCTGGCTTATGGTTCTAATAGTAGAGTAAGTTTCTCCGTTACTCCAAAATTGCCAAGCATGTACTAACATTTCATCAGCTTGCTATTATTAACTTTCGCAGATGATAATGGATCAAATTAGCTCAACGTGGAAAGTCTGTGTTACTCAAAAGAGACTTTCAACGTATGATGGAGGATACGATGCGGACGCCTGCATGCAGCAATATTTACTCAGTCACAACTGAGAAATGCAGCGGCGCGGCTGCACCACAAAATGGGATGCGCGGAAACTCATAATATTATTTTCACTTGGGCCTGGTTGAAGCAACCAGCCACACGAAATTGCTACGTTCGCGACACCTGTTTCTTGTATATCACGACGACGAACGACGACCGGCTGGCTACGGAGTTGAACAACAAGCTCTTTGATTGGCACATACACAACAAAATCTGAGCACCTCTCACATACCAAGTCTTTGTCGATGAAGGAGCACGCATAGAGGATATAGGAGTACAAATGATATGGCTTTAATGGCCTTGCCTTTTTTTTCTTTGTTGTCTTGGATCCTGGGTTTCAAGGGAGGCGAGATACACATCGGGAAGTTCTGGAGGTTGCGATTCGGTTTGAGCGTTATGGATGCGTGGGGGTGCCACGTTCAATTCCCCTCATGGCTACTACTGTTTTGGTGGAAGAGTTCCTTTGCGACATTTGTACGATATATACCAATCGGGATGATGAACTGGCGCAGAAAAACACGAAGGGGGGAGGGGGGTTTTGCTTTGACATATTACGGAGTTCAGGTTGGTTCCAGCCAAGCCGACAATACCAATAGCAGCAGCTTCAATACAAGATATCCAATGCGAGAGTCTGTGGCCTGTTTTAAGATGAAGACCACATGGTGATGTTCTGCTGCAAGGTGGTATTCTCTTCGGCGAGGTCACATTGAGATCCTTCATACGCCAGGTACTTGCCTGTCACCGGGGACTTTATATTAGAGATGGACGAATAAGATTCAACACTACCCCGCCGGATGTACTCAACCTGGATCCGGTCCTAAAACAAGGTACTGTTAATCATGCTAGGAACTGTCGGGATGGTTTAGATAGAAGTTGCTGCAGTACTTAGCTATGGTGTCAGAGATGCGATTGGCGGATAAGAATCGGAGGTGTCTCCGAAATATCAACTTAATGGTCGTACAAGAGACGTTAGACATATCCAATAATCATTCAAGCATCAAGACGATTTGGTCTGAATGTCATGCAAGTTGGGACGGAACGATCTCCGGTTCTCAGCTCTAATGCAGGCAGTCTAGATCACTTGAGGCTCAGCACAACACCCAGACACAAAAGAGGGAAAGAGAGAAGAAGAACCTAGACTAAAATCATGTAGCCATCTGAATTGAGCAGCCACTCGTAGATCTTACTCAGTAGTCAGGCCATGATTGGAGACAAAGGGTTTCGGTTAAGACACGGCCACGACGCCCGTTTTATTCGTTCGCCTCGCGTGTCTCAGTCTCAGCTGTACATAGTTTAGGTGCATCATGCATAAACAAGTCCTTGTCCTTTTTCGAGGTGACCTTTTTATTGCTTATGCTGTCTTTGTCTTGCGATCACGTATAATGTCCAATTGCACAACTTTGTCATATCTCACTTCATCGCCATCGATGAACATGTAGTTAGTTAGTAAATCAACTAAGATCTTACGGCATGGTCGAGTCAATGCCGTTGAATGTCTTTGTTTTTCTCGAGAAGAGAGAAAGAAAAAAAGAAAAGAGAGGTCGTCGGCTCCCAGTTAGTTTGCTATCGGACATGTATATCCCCACAAAGTTCGCCATTTTTTTTATTCCTATTTCCCTTCGAGGCCATGTGCATTTGCATATTAACCTGCATTAGCTTTGGTTTCCTTTTCTATGTTGCTTTCTTTCTCTCTTTCCTCTCTGCCTCTTCTAAGTTAAAGTTGAAAAATAACCAAGTTTGTTAAACAAAAAGACAGCCCCGCTTTGAAGGGGAGAGAGGAGAGAGAGAGAGAGAGAGAGGGGCCTGTTGATTTTCAAGGTTCCTTCTTCCTTGCCTGCCTGTATAAGTTACTATATATTCTATCCCACCTTGTTTGCTTCGTTCCGGATCTGATTGAATGACTCGAAATCTATAATCTGTCACTTTTCTATTATTGTAGCAACTATCAGCCCCATATCTTATCATACCGCCTCTCCCGTTTATACTATACCCATCTCTCTTTCTCTCTCTCTTGACTAGCGGAAAATAACTTGATCAACTTCATCTCTTTCACATCACACAACCATGGCTTCTTCAACACCCAAAACACAACACTCACATAACAAGAGCTCTTCAGAATGGACGAGCGAAATGCGCGATAAGCAAGCCCGCGGGAAGAACCCCTACGTCGAAGACAGCGACACAAGCGAGTCTGAGCCTCTACGGCTCGGAGGGTAGTACGTTACAGTCAATCTCACACGACCGAGCGACTCATACTGATAAATAATAGTGCCGTTACGGAATCACATACGGAGAGGGAAAGGAGAGGAGAAGCCATGTTTGTGCTTGACAATCCAGAAGCACTCATGGCTCACGCGCAAGCCACCGGCGACGTAAGTTTGTCTCCCAGTGCATACAAGAAAGTCAGCTGAAGAGAATATTACAGAGCATCGCTGGACAACGCCTTCGGTTTATGCGTCAACTGTGCGGCTTCGATAATGAAAAGCATGAGGACGCATCTCCTTCTACGTCTTCAACTCGGAACACGAAACGGCGAGTAAGCGATCGGGTTAATCGATAGTGTAGTAACACCCCTGTCGATGATGGTGAGGCGGATGCGATGCTCACATGGCCATGGATAATGGCATTCCAGGTAAATGGTCATTCACATATCTAGAACGCTTGTCCAACTACAATTTTTTAAATCTGGTCCAGCACACGATCGGGCTCAAAAACATACTGAAGCCCCAATAGTTGAAATATTACATCAGGAGGCTATAAATGAAAACGAATCAAGTCTCTTTATACAATCACTTTCAGTTAATAGCAACACCAAAATTGAGAAAGAAAAAAAAACAGGGATATTTTGCCTCCTTCTAATGGTCGTTATAGACGTGCTAAATCTAACATACACACAACATTTGTATGTATGGATGTATATGTGTCTGTCTGTGTGCATTTTATCCGTTTACTGCACCCACCACCACCTTGTATGTCCAAAATCCGCTGATCCACCGTTTAAAAACAATGTTAAATCGATACATATGCAGTGACCACAATCCAATGTCCTTGACAAAAAGTCACTTAAAGAGAAAATACAATGGCCAAATAAATATGCCCGAGTAGAACGCCGACAAATGCTGTATCAGAGTGGTAGAATTCGTCGCTCTGTACAAGGAAAATAAAGAAAACTAAGCATATCTCATACTGCGAGTCCGCTGCTGTTGCCATCCATTGTTGTTACCAATGGGCGCGTACTGGTATCCGCCTTGTTGTTGGCTACCAGGAACTGGAGGAGGAGGAGGATATCCTGGCCAGGCGCTCATGGCTGGCCGCTTTGAAGCCTTGCGACGGGCGATGCGACGGCGAATACAGCTGAAGCAGCAGCAAGACACGGCCAAGAGGAGGAGAGCGGCAAGAACAATTCCCACAGGGAGTGCGATGTTCTTATTGTTCTTGAACCAGTTCTCAATCTCTTTCCATGTTGAAGCACCCTCGCAGTTTCCGTTCTGGCATTTGCCTCCACCGCCACCACAAGGCGTGCCATCGAGGAAGTTCTGATTTCGCTGCACACAGAAGCCATCTCCAGAAGTCTGGCAAGACAAAAGGCAGCTGTTAGTACAAGCCTTGACGTGCGATGATGATGTCGTGTTCTGGTAGTTGGCTCGGCACTGCTCATCTCGCGATGTACACTGGCCAGAAGCGCATTGAAGTCCGTCGCCGCAGTCATCGCCATCATCACTGTGTGAGTCCTTGGGGCATGTCGCGTCCTTTCCTGTGCACTTCTCCTCAGGATCGCAGGGGCCAGTGCTTGATCGGCAGACAGTTCCTGAAGAAGCAAACTTGCATCCCTCGGTACAACACTCCTCGTTGGAGTTATCGCACTCAGCATTGCCCTTGAATTTACACGTCTTCGCGTCACAGCAGGGGTTATTACCACAGCTTTCCTCGCCACCACAATCGCAGTCCTCGCCTTCTTCGACGATTCCGTTACCGCACTGCTGGCCCGAGATGGTTTTGACGTTTCTGTTTTCAGTCAAGCACTCACTGTTGACATTTCGTCTGAAGCCTGAGCAAATGTTTCCAATACTGCAGGGGGAGAATTCACTAATACCGGGCCTGGACGAAGGGTTCATGATGAAATCACCCTTGGCGTCGCACGAGCTCTTGCTCAAGGGACAGCATGCCTGGGCGTTTGAAGAGACCGGACAGGCACTAGAAGTGCAATCGTGGACAGCACCAAAGGTGTGGCCTGTCTCGTGGGCAAAAACCTGCCACTCTGCCGATGTTCGAACGACGACGTTTGCTCCAGCAACGGTTTCGTTTCGGCCTCCGCTGTTGGCGTTGGCTGCAGCACCAGGACGACAGAGCTGACCCAGCCAGGCAAGACCAACGGCAGAGTCTGTGTTACATGTGCTCAGGAGTGTCCAGTATGCGTTGCTATCAGCATTCTTGCCACGCCAAGCAGAGAATAAGTTCAGACGGTCGGACAGGTCGACATCATTGGAGCACTTTTGGTTCCAAGGAGCCGTGTCTGAAGGGCTACCAGGGCAAGATCCATCACTGATAGTGAGGTTCTGGATACCCAAGGTAATGTTAAAAGAGCTCTCATAAACCTGAGAGGCATCGTTGACCATTCTAATAACACTCTTTCTTAATGCCTCGGTAGAGTTGAAAGTCGAAGTGTATCCACAATCTGTCGCAATGCCCAGGAGAGCTACCCTTCGGCTAGTCGGGCAGCCGCCCACAGAGCCGATTGTCGACTCGAGATCAACACTGCTACCGTCGTTACCGGTGTCGATAGTTTGTCGTCCGAATAGAGATTTAGAGTTTGAGACGCCAAACGTATCAAAATTCTCGAGTTCATGAAACTTGCTGTTGAAACCTAAAGTGTCGGAGTTGCACAGCGCAGCCGAAGCCTCCCGCTTCTTTAATTCCTCAGAATGAAAAGAAATGATATCAGAGTCGCGCCAGACTACCATAACTTCGTCGCTGTCTTCCGTGATTGCCAATACGGGGTCTTCTTCGTGTCGGACTTGCTGGAAGTTGGTGCCGGTGTGAATATGGTGGTGGTTTCCGTCGATTCGAAGAGTACCCTCGAAAATAGGGTCTTTGCCATCGCGATGAATCGTGATTCTTGCCCAACCAGCCTTTGTCCATCCCTCTCTTCCTATCCGTTCGATAAAGACGGAACCTTTGAATACCTTGTCTTCCTCTCGCTTTATCGTCTCGACAGATTTCACAGAACCGTCGCCCCTGATGTGAGTAATGGCGAAATTCTCGGGCAAAATATCATGGTTCGGTTCGAGCTCAAGGCGAATCTTTTGCTGTTTGTTGTGTAGTGAGAATAAAAGATTGAAATGCGAATCGGCACGGATTTGATGAGACGGCGTGTTAATAACGGGCTCGTCGATCAGTGAAATATAGTTAACGGCGTTGCGCTTTACGGAGCTTGCTGTTGGTGCAGACAAGGTTAGAGTGCCGAACAAAGTCAATAACGCATATCAACGTACCCAGTGAGGTCTCGAAGAACAAGGCGACACCCGCAATGGCGGTCGCGATAGACCGTAACGATACCATGGTGGTTTGTTGGACCTCAAACGGTCCTGAAGTGAAAAGGCGACGCGCCGATTGAGAGTCGTATTATTGCAAGGCCATGCAGCAACGGTGATTCAAGTAAATCGAGTCGAATGTCGAGTAAAGGAAGTTGTAGGAGGTAAAGTCCAAGATAATCAAGGTGAGACGCAGATGACCAGGCGGAGTGGCCGAGAAAGATGACGCCCGGTGACAGGACTTATTAACAGTACCAACAGTCAAGGGGAACAGAAGAATGTGGAGAAGGAGCTCAGGGTCTTTTGGTAGTAATAGAACAAAAAGAACAAATAAGTACTAGGGTATAGTAAATACAAGAGAAGAAGTAAGGAGAAAGAAAAGAAGAATATTGACTATTCGGGACTAATGATCATCGGCATTGAGTTTGAATAATACAACGGGCAAAAACAGCGAGTAGAATACGGAGTAGCGAGTAGACAGGACAGTAGTGTGGCGGAGGTTTAGTCTCACTGGGGGGAGTGGAGGAGGAACTAGGGACTTTTCCAACGGGCTTGGTGCTGCCAAGGTTGCTAGAGGTCGGGGTGTGGATGCTGGACGGACAACCAACTGTCTTGGCCATCCAATCATACTCCAAAGGCCGCGCGGTTCTCACACGGCATAGCCTCCCTAACGATTGGCAAAAGGCGACTCCTACAAGGCTTTGACTCTTGACGCTCACTAAACGATGAATCAGAACTGCAAAACTCCATCTTTACAGGATGCAAATCTGACTTGGCAATGAAAATATCCCACTTCTATCTGTACAGAATACTATGGAGCACATGTACATTCATCACCTGGCTGCCTCCCAGCCAAAAGGACTCCAAGCCTGTCCGGCATATCCGATATCCGATCGAGTCGAATAAAAGGTCCTCTCGTCTATGTTTCACCTCTCGTATCTTTTTGTCCAGCTATTTTAATAGACACCCCACTTGTGCACATTTGGATCGACTATCTTCTTGGCATTGACGACTTGATATTTATAGTCTATGCATAGGGTAGGCTCAGGAGGACTGCCTTTGACTGTTCAACCTCGATTTCTGTCTGTCAAGTTCAAAGTGGCTGGAAAGGATCGTTTGTTTGTTTACAATCTCTGTGTTACCATACCTACCATAAATGTTGATTCATCAACATAAGCTGACTAGATATCACTCTGTGCAAGTATTCGCCTAAATCTCTTCGACACAGCCTCAGACATTTCTTTTCCATGCCAAGCATCTCTAAAATGATGACGACTTCTATGTGGTTAACTAACAACTTAGCGCTGGTGGAACCATCTGTTGGCGCTCGTTCAACATCGGGATTTACCTTATCAATCACTAATAACTCCGAAGCGTTGTTGTCTCTGTATGTACCGCAGTCTGGATTTCTAAGCCAACCTTCTGTTGTTCCACGCGGTGAACCTAAAAATACTAAAGTTTAAATCTAAGCCGCCGCTGTCAAAACAACGTGCTTTTTGTATATGGTGATTCTTTATCCCACCCGATATCCCACTGACACAGAACTATCGCACACGCGTCTCTTAATGGCTGGTGCAAATGAGACATTTCTTCGTCATTCATCGAGACTCGTCTGCCTCCAGGGCAAGCTCAGATCTTTGTATGATACCCTATAGGTCACCAGTCTTTGATCAGATAGGCGATGTACCGTCATTAAACTTTCATTGTTGTCTCAAACCAAAGATTATGTATGGATGCAACCAAAATCGTAATGCTCATAAATCAAACTCATAAAACGGTCCCGAGCCACCAATATCCATCCTCTCTCAGGTCGTGGCTGATCCCGACACCAAATCCAAAACACCACGCGAAAGTTTGTTCCAATCTCAAACTTGCCCCCTTTCCCACTTTCATTGTATCCATGATATGTAATGATATATATAACTCCACTAGATAATATGCATCATGTCCCTTATTTTGTTATCCATAAATTTCTCATTTGCGCTTGGCATCATGAACAGCTTTGATGATCTTGTCCACAACAGAAGGATCGGATAACTGCAAGTTGTGTTAGCTATCCATTCCACTTTCGCGTCAATGCTTCATGGGGACTTACAGTAGTGATATCTCCAAGCTGGTCTTCTTCGCCAGCAACAATCTTTCTCAACACTCGTCGCATAATCTTGCCACTTCGCGTCTTAGGCATATCCGGCACAATGTATACGGCCTTGGGTGCGGCAAAAGGTCCAATGCTCTTGCGTACTTGAACAATCAGTTCCTTGCGCAGAGCATCGGTTGCCTCAGCGTTTTTCTCGAGATCAACGAATGCGTTGACAGCCTGACCGGTAAGCTCATCAGAAATACCGACGACGGCTGCATCAGCAACGGCATGGTGTTCCAATAACGCTGCTTCGATCTCAGCAGTTGACAGACGATGACCACTGACGTTGACAACATCATCGACACGACCTCGAATCCAGTAGAAGCCCTCGTGGTCACGGGCAGCGCCATCTCCAGTAAAGTAGTAACCCTTGTAGACGTCAAGGTAAGTCTCCTTATACCGGTTATGAGCTCCCCAGACAGTACGAGCCATGCTGGGCCAAGACTGCTTAAATGTCAGGACACCCTCGACGTCGTTTCCGTGAATCTCTTCCCCAGAAACAGGATCGATAAGGGCGGGCTCGACACCGAAGAAAGGCAGCGAGCAACTGCCGGGCTTGGTTGGAGTAATTCCAGCCAGGGGGGTGATAACATGAGAGCCCGATTCGGTTTGCCAGTATGTCTGCACTTGTGTTAGTATCCATCACGTTTCGTCAATCTGATCAGGGACTTACATCAACAATGTGGCACTCCTCCTTTCCAATAACCTCAAAGTACCATTTCCAGATCTCGGCAGCGATAGGTTCACCGACAGAGCCTAGTACCCGAAGATGGGCGAACTTTCCCCGGACATGCTCATCGCCAGCACGCTTCAGCAGTCTCAGAGCAGTGGGAGCGACGTAAAACTGGGTAACGTTGTGTTTCTCGATGATGTCCCAGTATCGCGAGAAGTTGGGGTAGGCGGGTGTGCCCTCAAAGACGACAGTGGATACACCGAGCATTAGAGGAGCGTAAACGACATAAGTGTGTCCGGTGATCCAGCCAACATCACCACCACAAAAGTATCTATCACCCTCATGGATATCAAAGACATACTTGCCAGTCATGGCAGCACCAAGGAGATATCCGGCTGTCGTATGCAAAACACCCTTGGGCTTGCCAGTGGAACCAGAGGTATAGAGAAGGAATAGAGGGTCTTCAGAAGCGACGGGCTCAGGAGGGAAGTAGTTGGGCCACTTCTCCACCTCCTCATGCCACCAGAAGTCACGACCACTGGTCCAGGGGATCTCTGAGCCTGTGCGCTTATAGACAAGGACATTCTCGACAGCAGGACACTGCTTGAGAGCATCATCAACAATCTTCTTGGTGCCAATCAACTTGCCGCCTCGCTTGCCTTCGTCAGTTGTGATGACAACTTTGCAACCAGCATCGACAACACGATCGCGTAGGGAGTCCGAGGAGAAACCAGCAAAGATGACTGAGTGAACTGCGCCAATACGAACACAGGCCATGAGTGCGATGATGGCTTCAGGAATCATGGGCAGGTAGATAGCAACAGTATCACCCTTGCGGACGCCCATTTGCTTGAGAACCCAAGCAGTTCGAGAGACCTCTCGGAGGAGCTCGCCATAAGTAACATTGCGTCCCTCGCTGGGCTCATCAGCTTCGTAAATGATGGCAACACGATCGGGGTCCTTGAAAGCATGACGGTCGACACAGTTGTATGAGGCGTTCAGGCGGCCCTCGTTGAAGTAGGAAACGTCGGCATTCAAAAGGGAACCACTTCGGGTAGTCTCGAAGTCGCGGTCCCAGGAGATGAGTTCGCGTGCGCGCTCAGCCCAGAACTTTTCGGGTTGTGTGATAGATTCCTTGTAGAGTCGCTTATACTCCTCGAGGTCTATCGGAGTGGATTAGTATCGGCTGGGCTCCGATGCGGATACCGGGATCACTTACTGGCAAGGTGGGGCCGGTGGGGATGTTCTGCCGGATTACAAGGTTAGCACAATCCATGTAAACAGAGCACGATGGGGATGAAATGAGAAAAGAACCACAAGTCAGGGTCCAGTCGAAGATGTAAAGACAAATAAAATAGTTCCATCTTAACAGAGTATAAAGGGGTGGGAACATACTAGCAAACATGCGCTGAGGAGGGTCTAAGTACAATGTTAGCAATGGATTCCGCAAGAAGCGTAGCGGGTCGCGTGAGCTTACGGTATGTATCAACGAGATGTGCTTCGGCAACTACAGGGCCTTTTGTATCTTTGGCAGGAGCTTGAGTTTCTTCACTCTTCAATGAGGTAGTTCCAATGGCTGCGGGAGCGGGAACGGGAGAGGCAACAGCGGCAGGAATTGCACTCTTGGGGATGGACTCGGGAGTCGAAGCCTTGAGCTCATGATGCACTTGGGAGTGCTCGACAGTGGTCGCCATTGTGTTTGTAATTGTTTGTGGTTATTTTTAGAGTTTCTTCTTCTTCTGTATTTCCGTTGGACGTTTGCGCCTGTAATGCGACGTCTATCAACGCGGGGTAGCGTAACCGTAGAGCTTGTCAGAACTGCTTGTAAGGCAGTACTTGCAGCTTTTGGTGTTGCTGTTTCAGAGGGCACAGAGGTCGTACAGTCGAATTGAATGGCTTAGAGTTGTGGGAGAAATTGGAGATAATGGAGAAAGACAGGAGGATATGTTTGGTTAGGTCTTGAGTAGGGGAAAGAGCTAGAGTTATAGTTGAGGTCGAGCAAGAGGTTTGATGAGGTCCAATCTGGCGGGGAGGAGCTTCTTTATGGCAAATGGGTCCATCATTATTGGAAGGCTTGGCCGTTGTCGCTTTCCTTCTACTGTCACTGGTAACTGGTACCTGCACCAACTGGAGCAAACCCGAGCTGCGGCCGGCGAACCGGGGGGGTCTTGCCGTGATCCTTTCCCCCGAGCCATGTCCCGAATAGCCAGTAGCGACCTAGCGACACACACTCAACAGTGCAACTCAATCGAGATGGGTTTTGGATCGTCACTTGAAATGTTCAAATTAGATTCTCGGCATTCAAAGTGGCCAATTTGTTAACAAGACACGGCATCTGTCCGTGAGAAAAGAGACACCATGCTTGACAATAAGATGCGATATGACGTCGCCAATGCAAATCTGTCAATGTATCGGTTGGAATTGCTAATTTGCAACAATTTAATTCTAGCATTATTTTGAAATGTGTTTGATACAATGGGCAGTATCTTTGACTGCCGTTTACCCATAGAGACCTTATCGGAGCACTTCCGAAGCCCTCCACCCGAGGGCTTATGTATTGATGAATGAATGCTCTTCTGTATAACCTCCGAACCTAATACTCCGAATGTTGATACTGCCCTGGATCTCTTTAAACAACATCAGAGGTACATACAGACATACAAAATGAAAATTTAAAAAACATCTCTTTCTTCGGCCGTACTTCCTGCGTTTACAATGCTGATCTAGCTCAAGCTAAGTAATGCCTATGCTGGAGTAGCTAGCGAAACTATAATGTAGCTATTGGGTGCCAAAATAGACACCCTCAAGTCTCTCCCCAACTGAAGCACTACCTGAGCAAACCTAAAAAAATTAGAAATAACTACGAATTCCAAATTCTGGGGAAAGCTTCAGCGTCATATTCAATGCTTACTACGACCCCTATTTGCTTACTGAAGATCAAACTATTCGCAGCAACCTTAGAGGCTGATTTAAACTGGCCAAGAAACGAGGGTATAGGTATGGTGGCAGGGCCAACAGAATACTCGTCAATCACAGCAGATGACGTGTTGGGGACTTTGAGCATATACATCTTTTGTCCGAAATCTCAAGACAGCTGGAAGTATTGTAACCGTTCTTACTGACACAATTCGGTAAAGGAGAATACTCGGGAACTATTGATAACCTGCAACACGTAATATGCATCTGAGTTGACGGAGCCGCTACGGGGCCGAACGTGGGAAGATGGATTTGATAAAAACATCTTATGTGATTGATGGTCGTAATGGAAGGGGTGGAGCTTTTGGAAGGCCTGGCCGGCAATAGCTACAGTGGATACTGGTAGAGGCGTTACATCTCGCCAATGCAGCATGGCCTATCCCTGTCGATAACGAGCCGAAGTCGCTACGACTGACAGTTATATCTGTTCAAAGTTTTGACCGTTGATAATGTGCGTAGATGAACTCATATCCTTCATCTTAAGTTGAATGACATGATAACTAATAAATGACAGTATTGAGTGAATACCTGTATTGATCTAATCTCCTCCTACCAAGTCACCCTGCTGGTTAACCGAAGGGATGGTTGTTGTCATAGCTCATGGCTGCATGGGTACTAAAGAATGGCAGCTGCAGCCCGTCCCCCGCATTTGGGGTTGATATCTGGACTTCTTCATTGGTTTACAAGGTCCAACCTCGCCCCTCCTGCTTTCAGGGTCTCGATAACTTTTGTATTTCCTCAACAAAAGTTGAATTCCAAATAACAGACCAGCATCTCTCACCATGTATGATATCTACCAAGTTCTCCGGCTAAGAATTCAAGAAAACAGCTATTATTCATTATTTCATTCTCTTCAGTTTTGAATTTCAATATCTCCTTGAGTCATTAGTGTTGCGACTTCTCCGCTACGCCGCTAGCTTCCCGCGAGATCATCTCCATGATCATCTTCCCCCACGTCAATCCTCAACTTATAGCCTGTGCCCCAGAGTCTATCCCTGTTGCATGAGTATTGATCTGTGCCCCAACGGTCGGCTAGAAAGACATTTCTTCAATAACCGAAGCCACTGACCAGGAATACGGCTGTGGCTCCAAATGCTTCTCAAGCCACGCTTGTATCTAACACTGCCGCTTGGCCGCCATATTCGGTACTCGACCGAATGGAACTTGTCCGTTCGCAGTAGCTACTTTATCTTTGTCTGCAGTGTTTCGCACATGATAATTTGCCTCGAACCTAATCAACTCCCTATTTGCGGATCTCAAATCTGGTTCCTCCTCTCACCCAGCCGGTAGGCCTTATTAACAGTTTCCCGAGGCTATTCCTCTGTTATCTACCACATAGTCAACCATCCAAACAAACTCGGACAAAGGTATGTCAGTTTCTGAAACTAGACTTAAACTCAATCTGCAAACAGGTTACCCTACAAGACTCTGATGTGTGGCATTCTCACAATAGTTGTTTCTAAATATATAAAATGATCCATGACGCGGCTACGCTTAGAACCTATAGGAGATCTCTGGCTTCATGAGGATGCTGATTACATCTCATTCTCGCCATAGAGCCCTAACTACAACAGTCTAGTCAGCTTACTACTACTGCTACCTCTGACTCTCTATCTTCTCAGATGATTGATGACAAGATAAGGAATAACAATCTTGATATCGTAGAGGCAAGCCTCCAACCTTGGCCAATGTCGAGTGAGTTCGATCAGATGTAAAACATACAGGGCCATCGATCAATTCCTTCTCAATGCTACTGTTGATAAATATCATGCTTGGCCTACGCACATATTACACAAGCCCGTTGAGGATTTGTGACGCTGTCCAAGATGGGAATCAGTTACCAGCAACCAATAGCGTTGCTCCCATTTCTCCATGCGCTTCTAGCCAGGTACCGGTTCCTCGATGTGGCTCCGCTTCCCCATACTCAGCCCACACTTTCATTCCTGACTCCAATGTCAAATCCTGGGGCTTCACGACGTATTATTGATAGGTAGGTATGGAAGAGATTGACTTAAAACCGATCGAATAGAGCAAGAGTCTTGTCATCAACGACCGGGAATCAAGGTGTCGTCAAAGTGTGTCTGTCTAGCGTGTATATGTCGCATGACATGTTGAAAACGAACAACGTTTAATCTAGGATGATGTAGTAAATCATGATGGTTAAAAGTAGACTTTTCGTACGATTGAATTAATAGAGTACATCTCCGGCAACTCCTGTAAGTGTGTGCAACATGAACCTCCTTAAACGCCAAAGACACTCTAGAGTAATTACATATCCATGCTCATCAAATACATCTCGACAATTCTCATGAACTTTGCCACAAAGGCCTCCAGGTGGAAGATGACCTTTGTACCTGTCTTGACACGATGTTCGTAAAACGCCGCCCACTGAATCACCTCGCCCTTCAGTCCATCATCGACAAGAGCAATCAGCTTGAACGCCAAAGTCTTGAGAATGGTGGTTGGAGGGATGCAGTGTGTTAGCAAATCATAGAGCTTCGATCGCACTTCCAGGATCCTGGCTGGTGTGTGTTCCGCATAAATATCCTGTGCGATCTGGCCGATGAGGGCTTCCCAATCGGCGGGCGGGATAGGTGTGTTGTCTGTGACCTTCTCACTGTTCTGGGTCAGCTCATGCTTTCAATACTAATCTGGGTGAACTTACTTCTGTGCATGGACGGCTTCATACATGAGCAAGGCTCGTCGTAGGTTTCGCCCGCTTTCCTCTGCTATTCGCTGGTACAGGCCTGGGACAACGGGCCAACCCTCCTTCTTAGCTGACACGGCTAGCACGTTGCATATCTCCTCGTGAGTAGGGGCCGCCACTCTGACCAATAGAGTTCTTGAACGAATCGGAGCAATAATATTGGCAGTCGAATTCGCCAAGAGGATCAGTCGAAGATTGGGCGAGTACTTCTCCATCGTTCGTCGCAAAGCTGCTTGGGCGTCCCTTGTAAGGTGGTCTGCTTCGTTGATGACCACGACCTTGAACTTCTGCTTGGCTGACTGATCCACCTGCTGTGTTTGGGCTACCTCCTTTAAAAGGTCCTGAACGACAACTCTGTCATAGTTTCCAACATCAGATGGTGTGATCTCGAGATGGTAAATGGAGGCGACGATGTTGAACTCGAGCTTTCGGTTGCTGCTCGTCTGGAATACTCGTGCATCGATCTTGATCTTCTCCACACCAGGTCCGTAGAGCTCCTTCAGCGTAGCGACGATTCGTGTCTTCTTGCCAGCACCTGAAGGGCCGTACACAAGCAAATGGGGAAAGTCACCGTTCTGGGCCTGAAGAGGACACTAGTTAGCGATATTCCCCTTTCAGGTAGTGCAAACTTGTTTACTTACAAGAGAACGAAGTCGCTCTGATAGCTCATCGTGATATGTGAGGGCATCGAGTGACCGAGGTCGGTGCTTATCAACAATGAGCGCCATTTTGGAAGCTGTTTGATGTGTTGGTGAGAATTGTGCAAAGACAGCTTTTTGGAAGTTGCGGGAAGACGCGTTGTCGCGTAAAGTGGACGATAGTTTGGAATTGAATATGGTCCGTGCACAATCTTGACCAGGATACCGTTCAGCAGGCAACGACGTGCGATTGAGAACTACTTATGTTCGAGCTCCATATAATTAATTGCTTATTCACTCGTTACGACGTTTGTGACAATGGGACTGAACGCACGTACATGCCGTATTTTACTAGTTTGTTAGATGTGCACGTTGTCTCATCGAGTTGCCTCATCTAGTTGCAAGTCGATTAAAAGATCCTGAATGGTATTCGTACAAGTAACAGCCGTAGTTCTACACCTCTATAATATACAAGGCGTTCATTTCATCATTTTGGCCCTCTAAGGGTTGCGGGAAGCCTCAGATGTGCTTCCAATAAGTGTCTCTGTTGTGGTCTTGGAAGCCTCCAGCAGCTCTACGGGAGCAATGTGTCGTCGAGGTCTCTTCAACTCTTCCAGAGTAACACCATCCAACTTGGTGATTCCTACCATTGGAGCATCTCCCCTCTTTACAAATTCCCACTGGCCTGGAAATTATTAGTTAGATTCCTCATACAAGGTTGCAGGCTATTTACCAGGCAGCTTGTTTCCAGCCAAGCGGAAGGCATCCCTCACAACCTGCTCGTGAAGTTTTCCTCGGATCTCGAACAAAATTTGGCTAACAGAAATTCGGGTGGCCCAATGGTCAAAAGAACCCTTACCCTTACCCATACGCATCTGCAAAATCATGAGAAAATGTCCTGCCTTGAACTAGAAGCTTTCCTTACATCATTACCGCTGACGTAAACACCAACGTTACAGTTCTTTCGCTTATATAGCCGGTATTTTTGTCCTCGAAGTCGCACTTTAATGGTGTCCTCGGCCATCTTTAGATGCTTTGCGCTGATTCTTCGGTGGTGATCCGTCATTCGGAGACCCCATTCGCCAAACAGCACCGTTGTACCCTTGGTAGAACCACCCGTTGCGACACGCGGTCGACCCTTGGCCATCTTCTTCTTTCGGTTCAGATTCGGTTCCAACCAGCTGCCCAGCATCGGTGAGGTCGTCGAAAAGGCTCGGACATTTTGGAGTCGTCGGGTCGCATCCAGCGTCTTGGACGTTTGTTGGAGGGGCGCACGAAGTTGTCTCAAAGGCGAAGAGGTACATAACCTCAAGCCCTGGAAAGCATTGAGCAATGCTGACGTGCTGGTGGGCTTCATCTCGGTGATCGGGGGTTGGCTTGAAGCTGCCTCGAACAACGGAGCTCTAGAAAATCTTCCCCGATGCCGAAGGTGGGCTGTTGTGGCAGCCTTAGATGCAAGGCCCCCACATCTGCGAACCACTTTCCACTTTAGCTGGCAGTCACGCACTGCGCGTCAGCTTCGCGTCTGGGAAGGAGCTAACGTGCACGTCACTAGACTCGAAGTTCTAGGCTGCTCCTGATTGCCTAGGATTCACGCAACCACTTCTCACCCAGGCAACATCAGCGAAAGGCATAAAAAAGTGTCAATGGTCTTCCTTGATCAGTATTGAGGTAACCATTATCACGACAAAAAAATGCCTTCCGACATTCGCTCTTTCTTTGGGCCAAAGGGTGGTAGTGCCCCCAAACCTGCTCCTAGAAAGTCCGAGGAGCTGGCCAAGAGCAAGCGTGCAACAAGTTAGTCCAATTATGGCCCGTTTGAGTTTCTAAGCATACTGACAACTGTATAGAGGGAAGAAAAGTTGTTGAAGACAGCGAAGATGAAGATGACGAGGTGGTAGAGTATGTTTTCTCTTCTAGTATTGGTTCAACATGCACTAACGTCGAAATAGAGTCAAGAAAACGGCAGCTAAGCCAGCCCCCAAGAAAAAAATCAAGTTTGTCTTGGCCTTGAATGCTATCAATTGATTCTTATCTAACTTTTCAAAGGGACGAAGAGCCTAAGGGCGTGTCCATATCCGCCGACGACTATTTCGCTTCGGACAAAGCCAACAAATCTACAACTTCGGCAACACCTAAAAAGCCTGCAGCTAAAACAGAAGTCCCTGTTCGATCAAGTCCCCGAAAAAAGGCTGCAGCTCCGAAGCCCCCAGCACAAGCGAAGAACGGCAAAACCGCTGCTACACGAAAAACCACGACCTCTCGCTCACATAATGTGGCCGACGAAGATTCTGATGCATACATGGACGATGGGGATGAAGATAGTGGCGACATCTATGCCGCTGACGCCAAAGGCCGAAGCAAGCGTAAGAACGACGACTACGAGGAGGATGAGTCCGACGAAGAGGTCCTCCCTCAACCCAAGCGCATAGCTAGCAGAGGTCGCCGGGCTGTTAAGGAGGATGATTCTCACGAGGACGTGAAGCCTGCCCCTACTGGCAAGAAAAGAAAGTCTCCTGCTGAAGATTCGGAGGAGTCTGAAGAGGAGGCACCACCGAAGAAGAAGGCCACTGCCAAACCGAAAGCTCCAGCCAAACCGAAAGCTCCGCGGGCGAAGAAGGCTGATGAGCCAGAAGACGATGAAATCAAGAATATCCTTGATAGTGTTGCTACTGTTCGAGCTCCTACGCCACCGCCAAAGGATCCTAATAACAAGTTCGACTGGAAAAAGAAAGCCTTCGGGGGCGGTAATGCATCTGCTCAGCCAGCATCTGGCTCAGTCGAGCTTCCGGAGGGCGAGGAAGAGTGTCTCTCTGGCCTCAGTTTTGTTTTCACAGGCGTCTTGCAACTTATCAGCCGTGACGACGGGCAAGCTCTTGTCAAGAGATACGGTGGTAAAGTTGTCGGCCAGCCAAGCAGCAAGACAAGTTTCGTGGTCCTTGGAGAGGACGCTGGTCCAAGCAAGCTGGCAAAAATTCAGTCTCATGGCATCAAGACAATTGATGAGAACGGACTTTTCGACTTGATTCGCAAGCTTCCTGCATTTGGAGGAGGTGGCACAGGGGCTCAGAAGGCCCAAGAGAAGAAAAAAGCCGAAGAAGACAAGGTGAAGAAGCAAGCTGCCGAAATGGAGGCTGAAGAAAAAGCCCGCAAGGCCGAGGCTGCAAAGGCTGCCAAGAAGGCTGCCGCCGCTGGAGGAGCGCCTGCCAGAGCTCCGGCAGCACCCCCTGTGCAGCTGCTGACGTCCAAGTATGCACCAACACAGCTCAGCCATATCTGTGGCAACAAATCCCAGGTTGAAAAGATCCAGTCGTGGCTAAGAAACTGGCCCAAGAACAAGAAATATAACTTCCAGCGACGAGGTGCCGATGGAATGGGTGGTGAGCGTGCTATCATCATCTCTGGTCCTCCTGGCATTGGCAAGACAACTGCTGCCCACCTAGCAGCGACACTGGAAGGGTACGACGTTTTGGAGAGTAACGCCAGTGATTCTCGAAGCAAGAAGCTCGTTGAGAATGGAGTGAGTGATGTCATGAACAACACTTCACTTCTTGGATATTTTGCTGGCGACGGCAAGGATATCGACGCCACCAAGAAGAAGATTGTTCTCATTATGGACGAAGTTGATGGTATGTCTGCGGGTGATCGTGGTGGTGTCGGCGCTCTAGCGAAATTCTGCAAGAAGACAGAGATTCCTCTGATTCTCATCTGTAACGAACGAAAGCTGCCCAAGATGAAGCCCTTTGATCATGTCACATTCGACCTCCGATTCAACCGTCCCACTGTGGACCAGGTCCGATCCCGCATCATGACAATTTGCCATAGAGAAGGCCTCAAACTCCCACCTTCCGTAGTGGACGCTCTTATCGAAGGAAGCAACAAGGACATTCGACAAATCATCAACATGATTTCTACAGCAAAGTTGGATCAGACTAGCATGGACTTTGACCAGAGCAAGGCCATGTCGAAGGCCTGGGAGAAACATGTTATCCTCAAGCCTTGGGATATCTGCCAGAAGATGCTGGCTGGCGGTCTTTTCGCTCCTGCGAGCAAGGCGACGCTGAATGATAAGATTGAACTTTACTTCAACGACCATGAATTCAGTTATCTCATGATCCAAGAGAACTATCTCCGAACAAAGCCCATGGCTATCAGCGGCAAAGGACACAGCCAACGTGAGTACAACCTCAAGGCACTTGAACTGTTCGACAATGCGGCAGAGAGTATCAGTGATGGTGATTTGGTGGATCGCATGATCCACGGACCTCAACAGCAATGGAGCCTCATGCCCACACATGCCGTGTTCAGTACGGTTCGCCCAGCCAGCTTTATTTCGGGCCAACTGTTGGGCTCGAACTTTACATCCTGGCTCGGCAACAACAGCAAGTACGGAAGACTCGGCAGATCGCTTCGAGAAGTTCATTCTCACATGCGTCTCAGATCTTCTGGTGATCATAACGAGATTCGCCAGCAGTATCTGCCTATTCTCTGGTCACAGCTTGTCGGACGACTCCAAAGCCAAAACAACGACGCTGTAGGACCAGTTATTGATCTGATGGACAGCTACTTCTTGACTCGAGAAGATTTTGACGTTGTTCAAGAACTCGGCGTTGGGGTAATGGACGGGGAGAAAGTGAAGATTGAAACAAAGACCAAGGCTGCCTTCACCAGAACGTAAGTAAACCATTTCCCCATTTCTTTTTAGCATCCGGCTGACCATTCACGCAGATACAACGCAATGAGCCATCCTGTTCCTTTCATGAAGGCCAGCAACGTTACCGCCCCCAAGGCTCAGCCCAAGGAGGTCCCTGATCTGGAGGAGGCCGTCGAAGATGATGACGCCGAAGTTCTTGATGCCCCTGAAGCCGATGAGAATGATGACGATATTGATTTCAAGAAGGACAAGTACATCAAGAAGCCGAAAGCAAAGAAGGCTACCAAGAAAACAACCAAGGCTGCTGTCGCGGCTGACGATGATGATGAAGAGGAGAAGCCCAAGCGAGGACGGGCGAAGGCCAAGGCTACGACTACCAAGGCCAAGGCGAAGAAGTAGAGCATGGCTATCATTGCATGAAACGGGTATGTAAATAATATTTCGGCGCGGTCGGTTTTGTCGGTTAGCTACTATGGACCAATTACTGCTTAGTGTATTGCAAGGTTAGGGAAAAGGAGTCTACGGCTACGAGCAGACGCTCGTATTATGTATTGTACTATTATTAATAAGACTACCTATACACACAATTCATTAACCCGCTGTGCCCATTATGTGAAGCGTGATGGCATTGCTGTAAGTATTGGTACTCGGACTGCCATGCCACTGCCAGTGCCATACCAGTGCCAACTCCTATTCTCATGCTGCCCTGGCAGTGCCGACGACTGTCAACGGCCGTCAACAGCTGCCACACCACTGCCAGCTTCTCAGTTACCAGTGCAACAATTGCATTCACTTGTTGCCGCTAGTTTATTATTTTTCTATTGTTTTGGTCTCTTCTGTTTTTCATCTCAACCTTTACTTTTCTTCCCACTACACATCCTCATTATCATCTGCTCTCTACACAACTTTTCATACCACAACTCTTTACCAACATCAAGCTTTATCATCTTGCTATTATCACATTTTGCTATTATCACATCTTGCTATCTACATATCGCTCAAGCTTTTGGAAAAGAGTCGCAACGATGCAGGGATCATCTTCGCTCCCAGCCGCCCTTGGCAGCGGCAAATGGATTGCAAGCTTCCTCGCAAAGAACCGCAACGACGATAACATCTATGCCCGCACACAATCACGTAAGTCTAACGGTGGCGGCAAGACCCTTGAGCCTTAAGAGTATCACGCTGACAGTATTCTAGCTCGAGCTTCCCAGAATGAAGTCAAATTTCAGGAACTCTACCAGAAGGCTACAGCCGAACTACGCAGTAAGTACATCACCCACTCCCTAGAAATGGCGAGCGGACAACACAAGGACGATGAACTGACAAATATTCTAAAGCCGTTTTCCGCAGCACAAAGTCTGCTGATTCCGAGTTGCACGGTAAGCCCTCCCAACACTCTTGTTCGCTTGTTCCTATGACTGATTTTGAACAGCCAGCAAAGCTCTGAAAGAGAACCCGAAGAACACACAGAAACAACAGAAAAAGCCAACTTGGGCTATTCTGTTTGACACAAAGTACGGTAACAAGCTTCACAAGCGTACCCGTTCCGCCCCTACCAACACCCACGTACCTCATGTGCTGGAGACTATTGGCGAGGAGCAAGAAGATCAAGAGTCTTCCGCCCTCAAGTCTTTGGTGAAGGCTGCTCAAGAGAGCGAGCAAGACCCCAAGACTATTACTGTCACTCCCAAGACTACCACTCCAACCCCCCAGAACTCTAACGAACACGCTTCCCAAGATGCGGATAACGCTTCTATTCATACTACCTGCACTGTTATCATCCAACAGGCCACCTTCAACGACGAAGAGGAAGTTCGTGTCAACAATGCACAGAACCAGACATCTACTTCTACTGATGCCCGCAAACCCAAGACCGTCAGCTTTGACCTTCCATCTTCCAAAGAATCCCGCAAGAAGGCAAGCAGCATTACTTCCTCTATCTTCTCTTTCATGGAAAAAGTTGTCAGACTCGGAAAGAGTTCGTCATCTAAGAAGTCTACTAAACCTCGACTGGAGCCCCGACTCGAGCCTTCTGGTTACAAGTAAGTTTTCATTCTCTTCGATTATGATCGGTGATCATGGATGATGCTAACAACTTCTCAATAGAAAAACTATGGATCGTCGTCCTATTCTCAAGTGGAATCTTCCCCAAGAAGACAACGCTATGGGTAATCTAATCAGAGACTTTTCCGGTCCTCTTACCCCCCCTGACAGCCTCGACACCTCTACCCCTACTCCCTCTAATTGGCTAAGTCGAAGCATCACCAACGTATCTGCTTTCGACAATTCTGTTGAAGACCTGATCCCCATGCCGGCCAAGCGCCCAACCTGGGCACGACCAATCTCCGATAGCGAGTCTATGCCAGGTGAGTTGCTGCTGCAATCCTGTTTCTACACTATGTGTCGAGTGCTTGCTAACCTGACTAGACTTTGACGATTATAAAATCCGTAACCCTAGACTCCGACCCAAGTACAAACTTGTCCGTAAAAAGGCAAAGACAAAGGCAAACGAGGGTACGTTCAACATATATACTTGCCCAACCCGCACTGACAAAATCCCAGATGACTCCACAATCATGAGCGATGAAGAAGCTCACACTACCCCCGCCATCGAGACCGAAGATCAAGTAAGTGATCCGCTCCTACGCATCATCAAATAAATGAATCTAACCTTGACCTGTAGGCTTATGAACGCCATCATGCATGCATCCAGCGAGTCAAAGAGCTGTACGACCGTAATGGTATTGACCGAACTGGCAAATTCCTTGAGTGGGAGTCCAAGCAGCGCGAAGCAGTTGAGCAGCGCCAGGTTCGTGAGATGACTGAGGATTTTGAGCAGCCCCCTCAGAACATCCAGACCGAAGACAAGGAGGAGAACGAGCCTCTTCATTCTGAAACAGTCGTTGATGAGAAGACTGCCCCCTCCCAAGACGACACTCAACAAGAAGTGAACGTCAACAAGACATCTACCCAAGAACCCCTTACCCATGAATCCTCTGGCGAGGAGTCCTCCGATCAGAAGTCCCCCGACCAGCAAGTCACTGCCCTCGATGCTACTGCTGCCATCCCCAACAATGAAGTCACTTCAACTGACGCTACTGTTGTCGTCTCTAACCAGGACCCTCAAGACGAGCAACCCGCCGAACACGAGCCCAACACCGGTGCCGTTACAGACGACACTGCCTCTACTTCTACCTGGGAGCACAACGAGGACATCCACTTTCCCCTCGGAGCACGTCTCACCGAAGCTGCCATGGTAGAGCACCAAAACGAAGAGTACTCTGCCTTTTTCAAGTCTCTCCAGAAAGTCCGAGAGAAGAGCCCCGATCGCTTCTGTGGTAAGACTTCTGCCTCTTCTTCCCCTCTGTCAACATCGCTAACTGTCACAGGTCGCCAAGGATCGTTCAGTGTACGCGCCTGGCTTGACCAGACCTACGACAATGAGAATGAGCTGGTAAAAGAGGACCCTACGACCACTCTCTCCCACGACCTCTCTTCCACTGTCGAAGATGAGGACGATGACGACACCCTTTCTGATCTTGGCTACTATCCCACAAAGGTAAGTGTGTCTCCATCTGACTACCGCTCTTGATACTAACATCAACTCTCAGGAAGAGACTGATGCTGCTTTATCCCATCCCAACGCCCCAAAGATTCTTGGCTCAACGCCCCAGGAAGCCAGAGAGATTTGGAACAAAGAGCTTCTATTCTACAACTTGGCCAGGCTGAAGAAGGAGGAGCTCCAATCCCAGGTGCATTTTTCTCTTGCTCGTAACGAAATTATTGAAGACGAGCACGACCGCGCAGACCGAGTTGCTTACCTCTACCTTCAGAAGAAGAAGAAGAAGAAGAAGGCGCAGGAGAATGAGATCGATCGATCCAAGGCGGTTCAGATCCGTCACGTACGAAAAGTCTGCCGAGAATTTGAGCAGGCGCTTCAGGAGGTCCAGCGCCGTGCTGCCCTGGCCAACAAGGAGGCCAGCGATGCTAAGATCTGCTTGAGATACCTTGGACGAAACTATGAGGCCATGGAGGAGAGCATCCATCAGTTGACCGAGACTCTAGGGCATCAACGTGCCAACAACCTCGTTGGCGCCATGGAATTGGTGAGGCAGACCGAGAGGGAAGAGAAGATCGACTACAGCGACATCGAGCGCTTGGATCTTGCTGAGCCGGAGAGCCCAGACTCATATGGCGCCACCGAGTTCATGGCGCGCGAGGCCCAGGGCGACAACAACGTCGGCCCTGAGGCCGAGGATGAGGACCCAACTGCTATCTTTTTTTAAACAATTATATAAAGGATAGAGGGGACCGACCGGTGACATTTTTGTCACAAAGAAAAAAACAAAAACGAAAAAAAAAAAAATTACGAAACAAAAAACAAAATCACAAAGAAAAAAACAAGAACGGTTTACGAATGATGCGCGGAGTACTTACGAAAGATACCCTTCTGAGATTTAGATGGTATGCCTGGATCAAGAAGTTGGAATACAACCTCTTGGCACGACTTGTACTATATGGATTTGGAACGATTTGCACATATTTTTGTTTCTATAGTATTCTAACACTAACGAGAGGAACGAATCTTGAATGACAGACGATTGGAGATGCGATTACGAGCGCCCACGAACGGTTACGATCAACGGTCTTATACACCTAGCACGATTTGCTTTTTGGCACTATTTGTATTTGTATTTTGTATTATACTACTATTACAGCATCCTTTTGAGGACGACGCAGCCGGCCGTGACGATTAGGTTCTATAACAGAAGTACCAGGAGAATACATCTTTGTTGTTTTGCGAACTTGCTATACCATCTAAGAACTTTATACTGAGCATCACAATGGAGGATACCACTGACATCTTCTTTCAAACTCCTATATTAAAGGGCAGACGCAACCAGTGGCATAAAATGTCCAATCCGAAAAAACAAAACATCAACGAATTGGACAGTTCGGAGGCACTGAAGTACACCCGCCATTGGGATCCCTTATTTGGACCGAGAACTTGGCAGAAGAGCGCTTGTCAGATTGACGACCGTCTTCCAGGATCACGGACGACTTTATACTATACTATCTAGCGACCGCAGGATACACGTCTTGCCTCACGATTGACGCAGTGGATACCATCCACTGATTGAGAGATTGACACCAGCACTGTTAAAGATTGTTCCGCTATTCTTTGGACTGTCATCTAATTGATACAACATCGACTATCGCCATGTCGGGCGCCTCGACCTCGCCGAGCCAGAGTCTCCCGACTCCTACGGCGCTACAGAATTTGTGGCTTGCCAGGCCAAGACAACAACGTCGGACCTGAGGCAGAGGACCCGACCGACAACTTTTTTAAACTATATTAAAGAGTAGATGGGACCAGCGACACGAAGCATCACCAAAAAGAATGATATCCCCATACTATTTGGACGATTAATCTGGATGAAGAGGTTGGTGGACAACCCCTTGGGAGTAGCTGGCACAGTTGGAGAACCGATTGTCAGGGTGATTACGAAAGTATCAGCAGCAGTTCTAGACGCATTGTGCATCGAGAGTACGACACAAGTGGTGTCTGAATCAACTTGCTATATCTTAGACTACCTTATGGCCTCCTTACAACCTCTGAACTAAGTCTTTAGACGAGACTTGCACTAGCTCCGAATAGCCCACCTCTGAGGAAGATGTCTTGTACTTTATGTTACCGGACAAACTAGATAGAACTAGATATTAGAATTAAGTAACCAAGACAAATTAATATCCTTTACCAAAACCTTTCCACTCAGTGACATGTACATACATACCTCCTTGACATTGCTCAATCGTAGCCAGCTCAAGAAACCAGCATAACACATGTCTTTGTGGTGCTATTTGTACTTGTAGTCTGTCGTGTATTATTCATTCATTCATATCTCTTTCCACGGGGTATCAAATCTCCAACCTCCTTCCATCAAGCACCCTCATGCTTAACCGTCGTATCCCCCTCCAAAGTCTCATCATGTTTCCCCGTCTGATCAGCCTGATCCGTCGCACCCTCCGCCTTATCATCTTTCCCCATGACGTTCTCAAACTGTGACCAAAGCGCTTCGACCGAAGAGAATTCGTTGCCGACCTAAATCAACTAATTAGCTCAATTACCCATACTGTATCGTAGAAAACTGCTCATACCGCTGTGACTGCCTCGAGAGATCGGTTCAGTTTGTTGATATTGGCCAGAACATGCTCGAAGCTCTGCTTGATTATTAGCACTGGTACTTGTGTGAAGAGAAAGATCACTTACCACTGCAATTTCGCCGAGAAGGACTTCACGTTGCTGTTCAAAGTATGTCTTTTCATGACCGCCCATGGCGGATGCGGATCTGGAATGTGAAGCCATGATGACACTGTTTCTGGGTTTACTTTGAGAGTTTGTGCAAGGTTGTCGTTGGATTAAACGCGGTTGGCGCGTCTTGCCTTGGTGGGGTTGTTTACTTATGGCGGGCAGTTACTTTCTTTAGTGGGGCACTTGTCATGATACAACAAAGGAACGTCCTGAGACACATCAAAAGAAACATTGATAAAGGACAATCTGGTTCTGGGCATTGAGAGATTCTTAAAAACGCTCTATTGTAAAAGGCTGCATTTTTACTTCATGAAAGGCCTAACAAAACGACTCGACTGATGCTATGGAAACATACGCAATATTTATACACAATAAACCTAACACCTTGACGAATTTCAAAACCATCGCCATGTTTGCTTGCACCAAACTCCCCGAGAATGCCAACATCATAACAATGAAGCTCAACATACAATATGGTCATTTAATCGACTCATCTTCTATAGTAATCTGGATGTCTCTCGTATTCATGCGGTCTCAATCCTCCTCTTCCTATCATGTCTCGTGGATCCCTTGGATCTCGGGGATCTCTGGGATCACGAGGGTCTCTAGGATCTCGAGGATCATGGCCAGCGTAGACAGGACCTCCTGGAGGAGGCGGTCCACGTGCATCATAGCCCGCAGGCGTAAAGCTGCGACCAGGCATTTCTCTATGATCTCGTGGCTGCCCAGGGCCAGGAGTAGAAGCATAACGAGGGTATGCTTGCCCAGGAGGCACCTGTTCAGGCCCACGTGAGACTGGAGGTGGATAGCGACCCTGCATCTGATGTTGCTGTGGTGGCATGCTAGCTCCACCTGGGTAGTAAGGGCCTCTTCCATCATCTCTCATGGGCATGTGATGTCCTTGCTGAGGTGGTGGCTGAGAAGGTGGCTGGGATGCAGCCCAAGACGGTCCTGGTGTTTGGGGTTTGGACGAAGGATGTTGAGGAGGCCACTGTTGCTGCGGCGGTGGTTGTGATGTGTTGGGAGGTGGTTGCGATGACCAACCGGTGGGCTGTTGCATGCCGGGATGACCTTGTTGGGCTGGTGATGGCCATGAAGTTTCACGGCCACCTTGGGTGACTTCTCGTGAACGAGGGTGGCCATACTGACCACCCGGTGATCCAGCGTGTGCTGGCTGACCTGTATTGGCGTATGATGTTGGGTATCCCTGATTCTGATACTGAGGGGGGCCTGGGGGAGGGTAGCGGTGGCCACCTTGAGGTGAGTTTGTGCGGCTATGGTTTGCAGACTGGTAAGGGTTCTGCCTGTAGAAGTCTCGCGGGTCTGCGGCGACGGCAGCTTCGTGCGATACTCCTATCGACGCCCTCGAAGTGCCCATGTGCGGGGGCTGGGGAGAATCTGCATAAGTTGGCTTGAGAGGTGGCATTGATGGTGTACCTCGAGCGAAGGGTGAGTATGGTTCTGGCTCCCGCCGAATTTGTGATGGCGGTGCTGGTCCTGGAAGTGGACGGCCACTCATGCTGGTTTGGGGTGGAGGAGTGGGCGACGGCCTTGTAGGAGTGCTTGTCACATCGTTCACCCGCTTGGGCTGTGGAGGAGGATCGTCATTGAGCAGCGACATGATGTTGAGACCTCCCTTGCGAGGCTCTGGAGGACGAGGAGGTGCTGCTGCTGGAGTTTGGACTGGAGTGCCAGACTGAGGTGTAATTGAGCCAAATGTATCGTGCATTGAGCCTGAAGACGGTCGCTGCTGGAGAGAAGACACAGGGCGACTAGTAGGCGTGCCCATCTGAGGCGAGCGCGCCTGGGGTTGCTCGCCCATCAGGTTTCGCACTGGCTGAACAGGAGCTTGCTGCTGCACAGGAGGACCATACGATTGAGGACGACCAGATTCCTGTGGTGGTCTCGACAATGGCTGACCACCGAGGCTTGATTGTTGGCGGTGATGAGAATACGGCTCGTAATGATGAGGCTGCGGTGTCATCTCGCGCTCCTGCTTGACACGTAAAGTTTGCCTTTCTGACTGTCGAGCTAGCTCGCGTTGCTCTTGTTCTCGCATCTGCATCTCCATCTTTTGACGTTCCATCTGAGCGTTGTGTTCCATCATAGCAGCCTCGTTACGAGACGGCTGTAGTGGTTGTGCGGCAGCCAGAGGCCGTTGCTCTCGTTGCTCCACGCCAGGAGGTCTGGAAGAGGCTTTCTGTGGAAGAGGCACGCGTGCTGCAGGCTCGCGTTCGTTTAGTCTAAATTGTTGTACAGGGGCTTGCAAAGGTCTTGGGCCAGGTGACATAACCTGAGTAACTGGTTGAGCGGTAGGATGCTGATTGATAATGGGTTGTTGTGACTGAACAATTGGCTGCTGCTGGATAGGAGCCTGTGCGATAGGAACTCCTCCAAAGTTTGAGAATTGCGGACCACCAGGAGGCTGACCAGCAGGCTCCATCTTGGGTTGTGGTGCTTCACCAAGCATTTCAATTCCTGGGGCAACAGCAAGGGGCCGGGAAGCAGCTGCTGAGCTGTCGTATCTCCTTCCACGCCCTCCTGTTGATGGCTGAGGTGGGTCTGGCAGTTTCTCCCCAGACTGTTTCTTCCTCTCGGCGTCATTAACAATAATCTCCCATTCGGACTTGCCTTGATCCTTTTGCCGGACATAATAATTCTTCACCTGTCATTATTGTTAGCAGCGGAACTTGACCATATAAAAAAAAAACCGGCAGACTTACCATGACAGCCGTTTTAGAGCCCATGTGAGCTGCGATAGCTGTCCAGTCCGAGCCGAACGAGCGCAGGAGATGTGGGAAGTCATTAGATTCAGACACACTCCAGTAACTAGATGCTTGAGTTGGTGCTTTACGCTCTGATGACTGGGGAGTCAAGTTGAAAGTAGCCATTGCAGGCTGAGGAGGTGGGTCAGGTCGAAGTGACGGTGCTGCCATTACCTCCGAGAGTGACGTGGAGGCAACTGGTGGAGGACGTTCTAAAGTCTGTATGGGCTGTTGCTGTACAGAGAAAGGAGGCTGGATCCCGGCCGGGTGCTGCTCGAACTGAGATGGCAGACGATGACCTTCAGCAATCGGCAAAGGAGTCGTGGTACCATCTGTGTTGAGTGCTCTTGAGTTGGATCTCGAGCGGCCCTTGGCAGGTCCTGGTGCCGCAGCCAAAGTCTGGTTTGATTTCGGCGCTTTGGGTTCCTTTTCCTTGGGACCTCTTCGTCTCTTTCTTCCGTCCACCTTTTCGGGATGATCGACCTTTGCAGAACCTCCGCGTCTCCCAGGTGTAGCATTGGGCGTCGAGGCCTCTGTGTCGATTGGAGGTTGTTCAAAGCCCCATGTAGGCGCAGCCGCTCGTCGTGGTCGCCTTCTCTCTCCATTCTCTCCTGTATCGTGGTTTTCCTCTGTCTCTCCGTCGCCGTTGCCCAATTCCGATACCAGTGCACTAGACCTTTGCTTCGCCTTACCCTTTCTGCGCCTCTTAGGCTGCTTCTTGAGTTTCTCTTTCAGGTTGAGGTTCTTCTTGTTCATGTAATAATACTGGATGCAAGAGCCAAAGTTACGGTGCGGGATAGCTTCCGCAACTCTGCCCCATTGCTTGGGTGCCTCCAAGTATCTTTTCTCGAACAGACTGGCCTCTTCCTCGGTGAAGTTATTAACCGGAGGCAAGACACGCCATGCTGATACCAATCGGTCAACAGGCGTGTATCCACTCTTGTCAATGTAATTGGTATTGTCCTTTTCTTCCTGCGTCCACATCATATCTGGGATGATAGCTTCCTTGTCCGTGCGGTACTTTTCCTGCTGCATTCGGAGCTCACGTTCTCTTCTCTCTTCGTCTTCGCGCATCGATGCTTGTAGAACACGTTCCAGGTCTCGCTCGGTTGCGAAACGACGCCCACGGCCACTTCCCTCGTGTTTTGGTTCAGGAGTCACCGTGCCGGTGAATTCAATGCCTGTCGAAACAGAGAACTTTCCACGACTCTTTACAGCAGCAGGATCGTTTGACATAGTAAAGTCCAAGTACTGGTGATAATTGTCCGAGTAGATCTTCTTATCGTGGTCCTGTTCCGCAGACTTTTCCAAATGCAGCTTATCCAAATGCTCAAGAACAAAGCCGTCAAGGAACGAGTCTGATTCAAGAGTGTCCATAAACTCCTTGTCCTGGTCCCAAGGTTGACAGCTGAAGTTAGGAAGGGTATCGATTGGCGGCGTGGTCATATATTGTCGGACAGTATCAACATTCATGAAAGAGTCATCCTCGGACTCGGTTTCGTCGTCGTCAACCTGCGATGGTGTGCTGGGTGGCTTCGAAGCTGTCTCGGTGGTTTGCAAAACAACGTTTGGTGCAATAACAGTAACAGGGGTGTTGTCGCCCTCGATGTGCCTGTGAAGGCTGGCTTCAGACTTGTTTGCAGGTGTCTCGACTTGAGGTTCGGCAGGAACCCTCACTGGAGTTTCGACAGCAGTCTCGTCGCGCTTTCCTGGGGATGTTCCTGAAGGAGTATCATTCGATCTCTCTTTCTGTACTTGCGAGGGTGTTTCGGGACGAGCATCCACGGGCATCTCACTTAGTTTCTCATCTTTTGGTTTTTCCACTGCAGATTCCTTGACGGTGCGTAAAGTCATGTCGCTAATCTCCATAGGTTCAACTGGAAGCTCCTTGATGGCAGTTTCAGGTGTCGCAGGAATGGGATCTCTGACTTCTCTGTCAGTATCAGGCATCGAGGTCTCGGACGCGACTGGTGCAGCCTCGACGGCAGGCTCGTCAACATCCATTTCATCAACCTCCGGTTTAAGTGCTGATGCAATAGGTCCTTGTTTGGCGGTTTCCTCAACAGGCTGCTGTGCAACATCCTCGACAGGCTTCGCGGCAAGTTCCTCAACAGGCTTCTCATTAGAATTTCCTTCCAGATCCTTGTGGGCATGGTCGGCCTGCTGTGCTGGTTTCTTGTCAGGCTGCTCGACAGATTCGTCACTCTGTCTCTGGGCGGGTTTCTCAGTAGTTTTCTCGGTGGATTCTACGGATTTCTCGGGTTTGTCGATAGACTGTTCAATAACTTGCTCAGTCGGCTCTTTGGTGACCTCGGGCAATGGCTTCGGGGCCGGCTCAACATCGGGTTCCTCCGATCCTCTGACATGAATCTCAGGCTCCGGCTCCAGTTCCATGTCTTCCTGATGTGGCTGCTGTGGTGGTTCGGACTTGACTTCATTGGCATTTTCGGAAGTATTTGCCATTTCCACGTCCGACTTTTCATCTTCTTCATCAGGTATGGGTTCCTTGGTTTTCTCAACGACAAGCTTGTTTGCCGCCTCGGGAAGCTCTTCCACCATCCTGAGCAGTTCATCCTGTTCCCCGACAATCTTAACCATAGACCCGTGAGAAAGAGCCGCAAACCGAGCCATGACCCGAGTTGGCAACTTCGGCCCCTCAAGCTTACTCAGTTCAGCCTCCGTTTTCCCAATTTCCATGTCAAAGTAGTCGGCCATGTCGTCGTCGTCATCGGATTCCGAGTTCTGTTCCACGGGCGCTGGTTTAAGGGGGACTTCAAACCTGACCACCTTGATAGCTGGTCGAACACGCTTCCGCTTTGGTGCTTCTTTGGGGGGTTCTCTCATCTCCCTCGCGCGATCCTCGGATACCTGGCTGAATCTGGGCATGTTCTCCATGGTAGGCGATGGACCAGAACGATAAGAATCCCGCCTAGAAGCATTAATAGGTCGTGTGTCTCTGTCGATTGATGCTCTTGCTGATTGAGATTCTCGCTCGGATTTGACGGTGATTTCTCCTGGCTCCGCGCTGTAATTAGACCGAGCCCGGTTGTCATAATGAGTGTCTGATTTTGCATCGCTACTACGCGGTCGTCTCTCATCCTCGTTATAATGATCGTACTGAGAACTACCACGTCGCATAGCCGGTCGCTGCTGTACAAAACTCGGGGATCTCATCATCTTTGGCGAATCGGGTACCTTTTTAAGGTTTGGGTTGATCCATTGCTTGCTGGAAGGTCTTGGAGGAGGAGGTTGCTGGGCTCGAGGGCCGACCGGGATCGAAGGGCCATCATGCATCATTGCCTTGCCCATGCCCATGCCCACGGGAGGCATAGCTGGATCATGTCCAGCTGAGGGCGGCCGATCGCCGAAAGCCCGGGGTGCGGTAGGTGGTATCTTCGTGGCAGCGCTGGCGGAAACATATCCCTCTCCCATACTTAGCCCTCGGCTAACCGAAGATCCAAAGGTGGGAGCAGATGGCACAACAGGAGGCGGCGGCGACACTTCTTTACTAGAGAGTCCTGAATCATGACCAGCGTTGGCGCGAGCTTCCATCTTGTTTCTGAACAATTCGCGATCTCGATTGTCTCCGCGTTCGTCTCGGATGTTGTGTCGGGCCTCTGGGTCAGCATAACGATCCATGCGTTCCATGCGGTCTCTATCATCACGGTCCCTACCCCATCGACCCTCTTGAGACCGACTTCGTGGGTAGCGGTCGCCCCTATCGTCCATATATGGTCCTCGTCCACGCCCTCTTTCTGAAGTCCAATCTCCTCTTCCTCGCCCACGTCCTCGATGAAAACCTCCACCGCGAGGATAAGGCGCCATGTTGAATTGGGGATCAGAAGATGATGATCCTGCAGAAGGCGGTCCCCCATCTCGAGAGCCGCGCCTGGACCTATCTGCGTCTACACCCAGAGGTCCATCACGGTCTCTATCTCGGAAGTCTCGATTAGGCGATCTTGCGCGACCGATGGGAGAACGACGTGATCGGAAATCTCTAGGCTCACGCCACTCCCTCTCGCGATCACGCTCACGGCTTCGGTCATCGCGATAACGATCACGAAAGTCCATGTCCCTGTCTCGACCCCGATCTCGGCTATCGTCCCTTGAAGACCATCCGCGACCGCGCCCTCGACCCCGACCTCTAAATTCTCCTCCAAATCCTCCGCCACGGGGTCCACTAGGTGCGTCGATCAAAGCTTTTGGGCCGCGAGGAGGCTCGCGCCGCAATGGGTCGCCAAAGTCACGGTTGGGAGGAAAGCCGCCATTGCCTGCTCGAGCTTCAGACGGTCGGCGTCTGTCACCGTCGGGGTACTGAGCGCCTCTGTCGAATCGGTCGGGTGAGCGATCGCGCGGCGATCTAGATCGTTCGTAACGTGAGTATCTTGAGGCCCTATTTGACGATGATTGTCAGCAATCATGAGGTCGCCTAAAAGGCGAACGACTTCGGTGCCTCGGGTCACGATCTTTTTGTCGATGCCTTTTTCGCATTTGACTGAAATCATAGAGCCGTGGGATAAAAAGTTGAGGTCTTACATTTTTCAAGGGCCGTGGGAAACCCGAGGGAGCTGTAGCATGCAGCCCATACACCCGAAAACTCAAATGCTATGCTCTTTTAAGATTCCACTAATAACTCTAGATGACGAGACTTTGCTGAAGTATACTGCTTTGGTGAGGGGACGACTGAACTCTGAACTCGATATGTCGTCGTCGTTGGTCGCGTCGTGATCACGAAAAGCAGTTGGATTGGATGGTTGAATGGGGTATCAAACGAAAAGTCGAAAGGCGTATAACGAACGTATTAGCGATATCGCATCGAAATATTAAAGGCGCAGCGATTATGGGGCGATGAAAATGAGGTTGCACCGTAAGGGCGGCAGTGCCTTTTGCGATGGATGAATGCAGGTTTGGTGAAGGTTTGCAGGATCAAAGATAGGACAAGCCTCAAGCGTGCAGCCTCAGTTCGTGGCCTTAGCGTAAGCGACCCCATTGCTCTGCTGCAAATTAGGATGGACGCATTGTCGCGCGGCGCTTAGTGGTGGACGAGAAGACATGAAAGGTGCCCTTTCCCTTTTCAGTTGCATCTTCCAGGGGGTCAGATTTGCCGCGAGACGCTAGACCCTGAATGGCCAGACTTCGTTGTGGAGCGATAATTGCACGCCTCTTTTCCGTTAAAATAGACCCCGCCGTTTTATAGGTGTCCAATGTGGAGCTAAGAAACGGTACAGAAGAAAATCATGAAAAATAGTTATAACGGCCTAACAAAGGTTTGGGGCAAAATAAGAGTAAATATTCATGGAAAATATATTTCAAGAATAATCTTTTCTTCGCGTATCAGCTGTTTTGATCAGACTCCGGAACAAATCAAGTGTTTGGCCGAGTCTTGACTAAGCTTCCCTCACTATCAAAATTTGTGTTATCCATATTTTCAACTTACGACTTAAAACTTACGACTCACACTTTTACCACAATGGCTTCCAACTCTGATGCTCCGCCCTCGGCGGCCACAGAGGCCGTCCTAGTCAAGTCCGAAGAGATGCCCAAGGACGCCCAGAAAGTTGAGGAGCTGGACTTTAACAAGCTCAAGGGTCCCATCACTGCAGAGGATCTCTTCGAGGGCATGCGCCACATGGGGTTCCAAGCGTCTTCCATGTGTGAAGCTGTGAGGATCATCAACGACATGGTGCGCTGCGCTCCACTCGGGTCTTCTGAGACATGATCAAGAGCCAGGCTGGCTAACAGTTTGCAGCGTGCGTGGAAAGACCCTGAAACCGGTGACAGGACCACCATTTTCCTGGGTTATACTTCCAATCTCATCTCGTCGGGTCTTCGAGGCGTTTTGCGCTGGCTTGTAGAGCACAACCATGTCTCATGCATCGTCACCACTGCTGGCGGTATCGAGGAAGATTTTATCAAGTGTCTAGGCGATACCTACGTCGGTTCCTTCAGCACCCCTGGAGCTGACCTCCGTCGCAAGGGTCTCAACCGAATTGGAAATCTCGTGGTTCCAAATGCCAACTATTGCGCCTTTGAGGATTGGGTCGTTCCTATCCTTGACAAGATGCTTGAAGAGCAAGAGGCCAGCAAGGGTACAGAAGAGGAGATTAACTGGACACCATCCAAGGTAGTCCACCGCTTGGGTAAGGAGATAAACGACGAGCGATCCGTCTATTACTGGGCGTATAAGAACAACATCCCTGTGTTCTGCCCCGCCATAACCGATGGCAGTCTGGGTGACATGCTCTACTTCCACACTTTCAAGTCCTCGCCTCAACAGTTGAAGATCGACCTAGTCGAGGATATCCGTCGTATCAACACGATTGCTGTTCGAGCCAAGCGAGCCGGTATGATCATTCTCGGAGGTGGTATCGTCAAGCACCACATCGCCAATGCTTGCTTGATGCGCAACGGCGCTGAATCGGCTGTCTACATCAACACTGCACAAGAGTTTGACGGTAGTGATGCGGGTGCCAGACCAGATGAAGCCGTGTCATGGGGCAAAATCAAGATCGGGGCGGACAACGTAAAGGTCTACATGGAGGCCACCGCTTGCTTCCCCTTTATTGTCGCCAACACCTTTGCAAAGGACATTGGGAAGGGCGAGCAAAAATAAAAAATATGATAGAATATAAAAAAAGACTTATTAAAAACCACTTGCGGTACGTTGGTATTTTTAATACAATGCTGAAACGCTTCAAACAAATAGAGCGATGCGAGCCCAAGAGCCACCGGCCTAGGACACGGGTATAGGTTCCAGTGGCTGCCGTTTTCATGTGGTTTCTTCCGAATTCCTTGGCCCTCCCAGTTCCTTAGGTTCCAGCCAACCGTGCTCTGTCCATTGATTCGGACCTTGTCTCCCCAAAATCGCTCCAGATCTTGGTATTCATCTCTGCCTTCGTTACTGGGTTCTTGTCGATGTCGTCCATGCGATCCCCCTTGGGGGTATCATCTGCGCCATCTATTTCCGACTCCTGTGCCTTTTGCGCAGCCAGGGCCGCTCGCCGCTCAGCTCGTTCTCTGTCGATTTGACCACGAGGTCTACATCGACGCTTGTTGGCCATGCGGCGCTCCTCCTTGGCTCTGGCAATTGCATCCCCCTCCTCTTGTCGACGCCAGATCTCGGAGAGGTCAATTGTATCCTTTCTCATCATCTCGATTTCTGCCAGGCCCGCTTCAAGTCTTGGCCAAGAGCTCTTCTTTCCTCCCTTTCTAGTCATGAGCCACACGATAACTTCGGGTGCATGGACAGTTCCATCTGGGCGTCGGACTTGCATGCAAGCATGAAGCCAGAAAAGGTCAGAGGTTCGATCAGGTCGAGAAACAGGATTTGGTGGAAAGTGGGGAGGAATAATAGGGCTTTCGTCACTTGTATGGGACGTGTTGCTGCAACGTCTCTCGGTCGCATTGCTGTTTGGGCAAGAGATGGATTCCTCAAGATGATCTGTCGGAGAAGTAGCTGGGAAGTGATCATGTTTTGTAGTTTCTGGAGTAGGCAAGATGGAGTAACTTTCTTTTCTGGGCGCTATTCGGGAGGTTTCGATCGAATCTGGTAATGAACTCTTTTCAGATAACACGGGTTCGGTCTCTTCAATACTCTTGATAGGCACTTTAGGCTTATCCATTATAGAGAGATCTAGAAAAAATGTCAGAAAACATACAGCATAGCAGGTACAAACAAATATGCAGTACTTCTCCTACCAGGCCGAAGGCCAAAATCTTGCTCAACAGCGGCTCGACGAATATCCATAACAGAATCTATAATGAAGAGTGTCAGTAAGTTATAAGTACCCGATGAATTGAGCACCCACATTCAAAACGTGTTGAAGGCTTGCGCAAAGGGAGAATGAAGAAAATAATATTTAGGAAGAGGTGTTGCTTTCGTCTGAACTGTAAATCAGGCGGAGAAAACATCGCAGAGAAAAGAATGGCGTGAATAAATATATAAAAGAGGAACTAAGGTGTAGTCAATGCAAAAGTTTGGGTCTGAGTTGGAGTTTTAAACAGGCAGTGCACCAGTTGCTGTCACTGGCAGAGAAATCCACGCTGGGTAATAAATTCGACTTACCATTGGACATATCCTCTGGGCCTTTTTCTACCAAGCTCTCGGCGTCCTTATACTCTTCTTGAGCAATTTCCGGGGATGGCGTTGGCGAGATATCGGAAGTTAGAGCTGGTGACTGCAGAGCATGCTTTTTGCGAGTCCAGTTGTTACCCTTCTTCCTCTTTCTTTTGGGCTTTCTAACTGTTTGCGGCTCCGAACTTGAGGTAGACAAGGGACTCATTGGTCCCTTATACTCTGGGCTCTTAGTCTGCATTTCAGGCGTAGGACTGCGATCTATGGTCACTGTGTCATCGTTTGTTGGTAACATTGTTGATCTGAACAGTCGGGAGGCGGTGATACAGATAGAAAGGCGTGGAAATGGCCTCAAACTTCGATATTCTTGGTAAAATAAACAATTGTAGTGGCGGAACCAGTTGGACTGTAGTCAATGAAAAGATGAAGATTGAAAAGACAAGTATGAGAGAGGTGGAAGGGAAGAAAGAGGGGCTCGAAGTTAAAGAAGGAAGGACAGAAGGACTGGACAAACCCCGAAGAGCAGGAGCAAAAGTCAGCGAGAAGACTTTTCTACATGATTATCCATTTTGTAGTTTAATTTAGGCATAAAACCAAGAGTGAAAGGCTAACATGAAGAAGAGCAAAAGTGTCTGCCTTAGTAGCTATGACAATGCAAACGAATATGAAGATTGTCTCTCACTCCTTATTGGTGAAACAGGCATCCAAATCTGCCTATCATGACTAAGAAGATGTCTACAGCCGCAATGTATCCAAAGAGCTTCTGATGGGTCATTCAGTTTTATGAAGTTGTACTCAACATAATGCGCTTCTGGTTGCACAGCATGATGCTGTAGAGCAGAGTTGAGTTTGGGTGGGGATAGAACAATAAGTCTTTATGGCAAAGTCAGACTCGATATGGATTCGGCTTGTACTCTTGAAATACACTGTATTTATACACAGGCCGAGAATAGAGAGCCACGTCCCTCAGGGTATCAGAAAAATTGACTGCTGGAAGCATAAGAGACGAAAATAGTAAGACACTCTATGCTTCTTAGGGTAGAGTTCTTAGACTATTTATTTTTATACCCTAAGACTTAGGAGGCCATTTTTTCTGCTACCCAGTAGACGTCTTACGGCTGTAGGGTATAATTTTCAAGCATCCCCGATACTTTGCTTAAACTCAGCCAGAGCAGAAGCCCACTCATCTGCGCCACTCCCCTCCGCCCAAGAAGCAACCTTCTCAATCCCCTCAAGATCATCCTTCATGTGACTTTCCTTTGTCGTTCCATCCAGAACTGCAATGCCTTCAAGACACAAAATAAGAGCATAATGTGCCGCCACAGGGGCAACACCGGCTTTTTGTGCGATCACCCTGACAGGCTTGCTGACAACGAGTTTCGGATTACTGGTGATTGTCCAGAAAGACTGGAACGCAATGTTTTGCCGTCGACAGTAAGCTCTGAGCTCTACATCGAAGTTCGTGTCCGGGTGAAAGGAATTTTGGACAATGCTTGGTTTCACGGTGACTGTATCGTTGAGCGCTTGGAGATCTGGAAGCTTGGTGTTGGAGATACCCAGATTGCGAATCTGGCGGGGCACGTAGGTTTCCAGAGTCTTCCATGCCGTGATAGTCTCATCCGTGGTTCTCAGGTGGGTATGCAGAAGTACACAGTCAAAGTAGGGTTCCTCGCCCTCGATTGTGAAGTACTTAAGTGAAGACTGCACAGACTGATGAACTTGATCAACAATTGGTGCATCGAAATCATAAGGTGCGTTTTCATTTTGGTTGGCCGGGGGCGAATATTTAGTTTGGATCTGCGGTAAAAGTCAGTGAGTCTTGTGCACTAAATATAAAGAAACTTACAAATAGCCCTTCACGCTTTATGATGCCGTCTCTGATAGCTCTTTGTACACCTTGCCCTACACCTTCTTCGTTGTAATGCTTGGGCTGGCCAGCTGTGTCGACCCCGCGGAACCCATATCGCAGAGCAGTATGAACAAGGTCAGCTGACTCTTCCTTCTTCCATGCTGTACCGTAGATGAGTTTTGGCATAGTAGTGGATGAGCTCTTGAGGGTGATGTCTTTTGCTAGTTTCGTGGCCATGATGAATGATATCAATGAATAAATTGACTGAGAGGTGGGTGAATAAATACGTCGAGTGTTCTTAGTTATCAGTGAGAATAAATCGTACGATACCTATGTTACACGTGGCGACGTTGAGCGGAGATGCAACTCAACATTGGTGATGTTGGATACGACATGTTGAGAGCCTCAAAACGACCCTGCACTATATATGGTGTTAATTGCAACGACATGAGCTACGATGAGCTGGGAATGGCACGGGAATAGATTCGCTGCTACGAGCTTTCTCCCCCGCAACGCGGGGTTCTCGTGGGGAAGAACATGTGTAATAATAACATTCACTCATTATATCAGGTGAGTTGAGAAGAAATTTGAAGTTCTAAAGTTTTTTGGTTCATTTGTTAGAAGAAATAAAAGAAGGCCAGAAACAATTACTTCCAGGTTATATAGGCTAACGACCGGGGGACCGGGTATTGTTACCGGGCATGTAAAGTGTAGCAATTTCACAGCCAACTATCAACATCATTGGATTAGATGTTGTTGATGCCCCGCCATAGCTCTGAGGGGTTGCAGCTCACCAGGATAAAGTCACGTCACTGACTGAAAAGAGTGCATATGGACAAGATTCAATTCGCGCTTTTCACTCTTAAGCATATTCTGCACATAAACTACAAGCTTCACAAACCATAGAGATATTATCACCATGGCTCCTTATACTGCTAAATGGGGAATCTTGGCCACTGGTGGCATCGCTGAATGTGAGTGTAAATTCATATCGCAAATCACTGCCTACCTAGTCTAATCATCACCACCAGGCTTCACCAAGGATCTTCTCACAGATCCTTCTGCCCGAGAAGTCAACGACGTCCAACACGAGATTGTTGCAGTTGCCTCTTCTAGTTCCGTCGACCGAGCACGCGACTTCATCAAAAAGATCGATGGCCCTTCTTCAGCTGCTGTCTACGGTTCATACGCCGAGCTTGTCGCTGACCCCAATGTCGATATCATTTATGTCGCTACCCCTCATAGCCACCATTTCCAGAACGCCATGCTGGCACTGGAGGCTGGAAAGAACGTTCTTTGCGAAAAGGCCCTTACTGTGACTGTCGCGCAGACTAAGAAGTTGTATGAGGTTGCCAAGTCCAAGAACCTCTTCTTTATGGAGGCTGTCTGGACACGATACTTCCCTCTTAGCATCAAGGTGCGAGAGTTGATCCAGTCCGGGGTCATCGGTGATGTTTATAGAACTTTTGGTAAGCATCCCCATTCAGCTCCTCTGACACTCTTCAACGCAATGGTTTTTAACTCACTCTTATAGCCGATCTTTCATTCAATAAGAACACAGACAGTGGCGACCTCGAGTTCCCTGATTCGAACCGCATGGTCAACCCCGATCTTGCAGGCGGTGCCCTACTCGATCTCGGCATTTACTCCTTGACATGGGTTTTCCAGTCTCTCTACCACGTTCAGCCTGAAGCCGATAAAGAGGCGCCTAATGTCGTGGCTTCCATAAACAAGTACCGAACCGGCGCAGACGAGTCAACAAGTATCATCTGCCAGTTCCCCAAGCACAGGAGTGTCGGTATTGCAACCACCTCACTGCGCATCGCAACAGACGTCGATGGCCACTACACCGGTGGCCCAGCGATCCGAATTCAAGGTTCCAAGGGTGAGATTCAAGTTACAGGTCCTGCATTCAGACCTACAGAATACAAGGTCATCAAGTCAGACGCCCACGGCAAAGTCGAGGTGGTGACCTGCCCGATCCCTACAGACCCCAAGCGTAACGACTGGGGTCACGGTATGTTCTGGGAGGCTGACGAGTGTGCGCGATGTTTGCGTGACGGAAAGAAGGAGAGTGCATCGATGCCTTGGTCCGAGAGTATTGCCATCATGGAAGTCATGGATAGTGCGCTGAAGCAGGGTGACGTGAAATACCCTGAGCTCATCACTACTGATGTATTTGACGCCAACAGCCCTCTCAACACTGGCAAGAAATGAGCTGTATAACGTATAGTGCTTCAAATAGCCATGAGATAAGAGTCGGGACGATGTGATATATACAAGGATGTGCCGAAGCATTGAATAGTGCCGCCACCCTGCATCGTGATTAAGACACGAATACAAGATTCGCATAAGATGCATACTACGTGCACTGTTACGGGTGGTGAAAAGTCCCGGCGCTACGCGCGGGAGAGTGAGATTAACGGTTCATGTCAGATGCAGCTGCCATCCATGACAGGGGGGCTGTCCTTTTAGATTGCTGGCAATCATCAAACGTGCGATGGCTGTTTTCTTAGTCAAGCCATGGGGGACACGGGAAGCATGGCGTGGCATTCTAAGACATTTTCGCGCAATGTTTGCCCCCTTTCGCAACCAAGGTATCTGAATAGGGTGAATGGGCTAGGATCGCTCAGGCAAGGCACCAATTTCTGAGCAGGTCCTTTGAGGCCTGAAAAAACGGACTCGGAGTCTGTTGGTCTCGACCTGAGATGACGTGCAGCCCTGCCTGTTCTTCAGGCAAGCGAGCGAGCGGGAGCACCCATGCCCACCCACCATGTGTGTCGCGGATCCCTGATACGAACGCTCTCATCTGCTGAAGATATGCATTATGCATGCAGCACGAGGGCTACCTTGGATGACACGCGAGCTGCAGTAGAGGGGGCGTACAAGCCACCAAGAGGGTGTTCCATGGCTGACTGATTTGCGGAATTCTTTCAAGGGATTGGGTGGTGAGAATGTGAAGATGCGATGTGATACTTAGTAGACAACGATCCATGTATGAAGAGAGATGAGATTGTGGGGTCAACGATATCAAGACCCCCAAATTGAATTGAAGCTTTGAGGCCTGGAAGCGGATCCGAGGTGTTCGTGACCAGGGGCCTCAAAATCTGACAGGGGGAGGATTAGTTAACGTTTGAACTTTCTAATTGTCAGTTATCATGTACGTACCATAGAACCTACCATATCTGGGTAGTTCGTTCGAGCTTCATCCAGACCTCATTACGTACAGAGAGCCGCTGTTCTTGTTAACTTGACGCACAGTTCACCAATATCCCGCACTACGCAAGGGGGCGTTTGACTATTTGACTGAGACTCGTATGTTCGCTTAACTTGGATCATATATTAGCATGAGCTATATTGCCTAGTAACGTTTGTATTTGTCCGTCATCTCCATCAATGTCTGTGGTTACCTTGAAGTAAACGAGTGAAGATCCGTTCTACACAAGCCACAAAACGGAGCCGCCTAAACAGGGTCTCCACTAATAAGGTAATCGGGGGCCACAACCGAACCAGGGCTGTCACTGTCACTACCTGGATATTGAGAAATTAGTAGTTGCCATATACAGAAATCGCCAACAAACTTGAAGAAGCCAACCAACCATTCCATTTCTGATAAGTCTGAGCTCTCTCAAACTATTCACAGCAAATCTCGCACGCCCCTCCTGTGAGACAGAAATCTCACCAAGGATTGCAAATCCAGTCCCTGTAAAGGAAAATCTGCACGGAACTTTAAGGCAAACAGTCTCTCTCATCATGGCAAGCGTCGTTCCATCGGCCACACCGGTTGCTGGAGATCAAGAGAACAGACCACTCGGGCAACAAACGGATCAGCAAACTTCAGCTCAGGATCGAGCTCAAGATCAAGCCCCCGCAGAAACATTCTCACAATCTGCAGCGGAAGAGGCACCCGAGACGTACGAGGCTACCCACGTCCACGCAGTCTATGAGAAGATTGCACCGCACTTCTCAGCTACTCGCCACAAGCCGTGGCCCCGCGTAGCCAGATTCCTTGAATCCCAGCCCGTTGGGAGTGTCGGTCTGGACGTTGGCTGCGGCAACGGCAAGTATCTGCGCGTCAACCCGGCTGTCCACATTTTTGGCTCAGACCGAAGCCAGGCCCTCGTCCAGCTTGCCCATACTGAGCTTCGTCGGCCACGGGAAGACGGCGCCGAGCTCGATCCCAGGGTATCGGACGTTGACGTCGCCGTTGCGGATGGCTTTTCTCTTCCTTACCGCAAGGGTGCAGCCGACTTTGTCATCTGCATCGCTGTTGTGCACCACATGTCGACACGTGAGCGTCGACAGACCGCTATTGCGGAGTTGCTGGAACTTGTAACTCCTCAGGCGGGCCATGTGCTGGTCTATGTGTGGGCTCTCGAGCAGGCGTCGAGCCGTCGCGGATGGGACACGGGCAGTGACCAGGACCGCCTGGTATCGTGGGTGATGCGCAAACCCAAAGGCCAAGAGCCCGGGGGCACATTCCAGCGTTACTACCATCTATACAAAGAGGGTGAGTTGGAGGAGGACGTCGTGGCGGCTGGAGGCATGGTTGTAGAGAGCGGTTATGAGAAGGATAACTGGTGGGTGGTATGTAGTCGGCCGTCATGAGACCAAGTACGTAGAAAGTCAAAAGTATGGACGTTACGAAAATGTATTGGATATGATGATTATGTGAAATGAACTGAAGATGCACGATTCACTGCGAGTTTTGTTACGGATAATATGCTTGTCAAACCACGCAAAAGCAGTAACCCGTCAACGGGATTGCATTACATTTGGGATATCTTCGAATTCAGATAACAATGCTAACTGTACAGGCTATCCATCTACTTTGGTTCCTTCTCTATGGCTTCCGTGAATGTGTCTATCGAATATGAAATACCAAAAGGACAAACAAAGACAAAGCGCTGTCAACTTAAAAACAACAACACCGTTTCTTGCAACTCCGTGTTTTCTAGAGCCACCCCTGGCCCTATTCTGTAATGCTCCCATTGCCAGGCTTCCAAACAGCTTCCATGGCATCCACTGCCCTTCAGACGCCTCTGACCGATGCAAAGTAAAGGAAAGAACTCATGACATGATACATGACGATCAATCGAATCGAAATAAAGAAAACACGCCCATATTTTCCCACCAAGGTTTTCTTCCATAAGATCATGTGCACATTTCTCTGTTCCACCGCGAGATCTGGCTGGCTGCTGTAACTCTTGAGCATGTTCTAGGTCGACAGAGTAGCCTCCAGGCCCTCTTAAAAAAAAAACCCAACATGCTCTACATTCCCATAATGATAAGCCGTACATTCATTACCCTTCCTGTAACCCAAACACCGTCCTTTGCGAGTTGAGTCGCTAGAGAAATGCCAACAAATATTCATAGCCCAACTCCCAAGTACATATGTAATACAACTGCTTGAGTGTTCAAGCTATGCGATGCGTCGTCGTTGATTTGGTTCGTATTGATACGGGTCTGGTGAAGCTCTTCGCTTGGATCCGGCCGACTCAATCGAGTAACTGGCGAGACTTGAATACAAGGGTCCTTGACCCATTCCGCCCGCAGGCCCTATGCTGGGTACAGCAGAAGCTGTGCTGTAGGGACTGACACCACCAGTGAGTTCAGCAAATCCAGGAAGCATGCCAGCACTTCGAGGCGTAGGCTGGTTCTGAATCGGTGCCAATCCAGGGCCTGGTACATATTGGACTTCCGCAGGCTCAGGACCCATAGGCAGAGGGGGAGGTGGAGGGATCGATTCTCGGCGGGAAATAATGGCTCGGTTGTTGGCAGGGGGTAATGGTGGCGCTCTGTTGTACACAATTCGTGGTGATGGGACTCCAAGGTCGCGAGGCATGCTTCCCTGAGAATGTGAGTGAATGTGGCTGCGCGATGGTGAGCTCCTGTGGTTGTTGTTTCCTTCAACGTTGACTGCAGCCAACGAGAAAGGGATGACTCCTGCACGTCGAGCCATGTCTGCTTCTCCCAGCTGCCAATGCATAGCCTCTGCTGCTCGCCAAGGTACTGCCATCTCTTCCGCCACCTTAGCCCACATTTCCGGCTTGAATCTAAGCCGTGTTAGTATGCCATAAAGATTTACGCACTATTTGATCTGGCGTAGGGGATCCACGGGGTCAAGCAAAGCTACTAACCTTTCGTAAAGTCTGGCAAGCTTGTTCTTGCGCTCTTCGTCCCATTCACTTCGCCTTTCAAGGTAATTTTGGTAATGTAGGCGGCAACTTATCGCACTTCGACCAGGCAAGCGCTTGGAGATATCCTCCCACTTCATCCCCTTCCCTCTGAGCTCAATGATGAGTGCATCTTCCTCTGGCGACCACTTACTCTGCTTTTTGACAGGTGGCTGGTCTCCGGTATGAGGAGGCATGCCTCGTCTTCCAGACATCTGCGTAGGGGCTACAGGTGGTGGAGGCGGGACATTCGCAATAGGTCGGGGTGAAGCTGCCGGAATCTTGGGAGGGAGTTGCTGATAAGTGAAAGCTGGAGCTGGCTGGGTTCGACGAGGTGGCGAGACAGAAGGCTCATGAGATGCCTTTAAGAGGGCTGCAAAATCCACCGCAACAGCCTGAGAACCCAGTCTTCCAGCGGATGAGCCGTTGGCATATGGACGAGGCGTACGCCCCTGATCGAGACGGTCTTCCACACTCACGATGGATGGTGGTATCTCCGCCCGCAAAAGGCAGAGCGGAGACTCGCTCTTGAGTTGGGCCAGCTCGGCGACTTTGCTAAGTGCTTGTGAAAAGTGAGTTTAGCAGCGGCTTCCAGAAGCCTAATGCTGCTCAGGAGTGTTATGTATCAAGGTGTCACGGGCTCTGTCCGTTCCTTGTTCTTTGTTTAGATAGACGAGACGAAACCCAGATGTGTAAACTGTGCTTGTGAAGTAGGGCTTGATAGTAAGCTTAGTAGTTCGAATCTTGGAGAGATCCGATAGCTTGTGTTGCCGTTGTCCCAGTATCTAATAGTCGTGCAGTGTGGTATTGGAGGCCTGGTGGTGGTAGATGCAGTGTAGTGGTGGGTAGCTGGGTTAGGTATCGACACAGTTGGGCTCAGTAAGGTACTATGTTGCCACGAAGATGCAAAAGGAGGAGAACTGTCTCGGCAAGCGACAGTGATGGCTGTTCAGACCTGAAGCGTGGCTCTTAGACGTTAATGGGCCGAGGGGATGTGATTGGTGATATCCAGGGTTCTTTGTAGCCAATGGATGTGAATAGGATGATATGTGAGGCAGAACAGGTCGTGGGGCGCCAATCGAGGTAAATGAGGCCAAGGTAAGGCTTGTTATCATGAGCTGTTATCCGGTGGAAGATGGATGAGTCGTTGAGGCGGCAATGCGTGGGAGGTAAGAAGAACAAGATCTTCGAGGGTCGTCCGGTTTGAATACAGAAAACGTCGGTCAGATCTTCTGCTGGGCCCCTACTAACCTAGTACATGCCTCCAGAAGCTCTAACTTGTGCGCAGGACAGGGACCCACGTTATGTATGGATCGCTTTGCTTCTTCCTCTTCCTCTTTTTGTTGTCTCTAGTCTTGGCCGAGGTCTAGAAGAGAGGATTCAGAACGAAAGAGAACTCAGGTGAAATAATCCCAAACGTGTGGACTCCGTTACGATTCAAAAAAGAAAGGGGATGTAACCCGGAAATACTATCAAACCCAAAGCCAGAGAGAAGTTGTTAAGTTGAGAAGAGGCGGTAGAAGTGACATAACGCTGTGGAGAGACGACAATGCAGCAAATAAATCAGGGTCTGATTGCATCCCCAGGAATCGGTGAATATGGTGTGTCTTTACAGGAGGCCCAACCTATAATGTACCTAGGTGACGAAGAAAATACATAGCGACAAGCACGAGCTCATCAAGAACGAACAGGATGGTCAAGGAGTTTACTCCTGGGAACATGGGGGTGGTGCGCAGAGCCAAGCTTGCAGGGGAGGGGCGTGTGTAGGTGTGTCACTCTGTTCATAGCGAAGGATTGAAGAAGTAAGGTAAGTGGGGTCGATATGTTTGGTAATAAGGCAGAGGGCATCGACAGGCCGGGGATAAACGTTGGAGAAAGAGCATAACTAGCATGGCATGTTGGCAATGTTGGTATGGATTTTGGTGTTGGTTCCATATCTTGGGAGTCTGAACCTGCAATGTACCCAACTGCTCCTGAAGAAATGAAAGTGTGGTTCGGGAGAAGAAGGAATTGAATGGAAAAAGTATGGAGCGAAAAAGAAAGGACATGTTAGGTGATGCAACGCAGAGTGCATCATGCTCAATGAGCTGGCCCGATATGAAGCTGAGAAATGAGGTTATCCCGAATTTTGTCTCAATCGAGTCTCGACCATTGTCCCCATCTTTGTTCGCCCAATTTTCCGATCGGCCGACATTACGGCAAAGCAAAGTCCATATTTCATGTTCATTTGCTATACCAGGTCATGGTACCTATCTGATCGTGTGTCCTTGACAGCAGAGTACTGACAAAGGCAGCCACACGTCGAAATGACAACAGATCTGGAACCTGTCATCATGTAGACGGGGACAAAAGCCCAAAATCTTCTGGTGCCGGATGAACTGCTGTATGACGGTGCACACCGCAACGCTCTTGATACCCAGTACTTCATTGCCTTGCACAGCCGCGGCCCTGTCTTGCCTTGCCTTGGCCTTGGCTGAGAGGGGTGCTGGCGTCTATCGTTGTCTCCAGCTGTGAGGCTAAGTGCATTAGCCTCACACCCCTGGTTCTGCACCAACTCATCACAGACGCCCTCTGATCCACGTTGCTACGATCTTCGCATGGGGGGGAACTTGCCAGGGCCAGTCTTCCTTTGTTCGCCTTCGACTCGACAAGGACAGGGGACCTTAAATTGACACGACACTTGGCTTGGAGTCGGCAGGGCTCAAATAAAGAACGCTGGAGATGTACCTTGGTTGGTGTCCATCCATCTGTGATAAGAATCGGTCACGATCTTGGCGTGGAAATATAAAGAATGAACGGTGTTTGAGGGAGAATAGACGGATGCTTGGCCGGAATGGTAAGAGCATTGACTGTACCTTATTCGTTGCAGCCCAGTTCTCAGCACGTGGTCAGAAAGTGCAGCAGCTAACTCAGACAATTCCTACCCATTCTTCTGGGTATCAAAGCCTCGAGCAGTAACATCATTGGAACAGCCGTATTTACTAATTCGTTTATTTAACCGACTATCTGTCTTTCTGAGTACTTATTTTCTCTTTTAATGTTGGACCTGATATCCCTAATTTTTATAAATTTGTCTTCATATCGAGTCCAAGACATTCCGTAGAGCCTTGCATAAGAAGAGTGTATCAGAATGAACCTTAAATACATGCCTAGAAATCGCGATTTCGGTCTGCAAAGCAAACTGGCTCGCTTACAGAAATACAATCCCGATTGGAAACATGAGGCCTTCTGTGTTTTAAGCCACCGTCTGGGTATGTCTCATTTCGAGGTTGCTGGTGGTGTTAGCACGCAGTTGGAGGCACACGACAAGGAACATGCTATATCCAAAGCATGAGTTGTCTGGGATAAGAGGGCTGCCATAAGTGGACTGAACATGCATTTGTAAGTGTTGTGAGCCCAATCCATTACTCTGACCGGTGAAAAATCCATACATGATGACGGTTGCTTAGGTACTGCTTTACTGCCTAGCATAGTCCAAGTTTGGGTCAACATGCATGTGAGTTGAGATGGTGAAGCCCATTTGTAGACTCCCGCTAAAATGTTAGCTGGGTTAGAGGCTTCGCACGAACCACTGACTGTGAGTTCGAGACAGCTCCAGCGTCAGTCAGCGTCAGCACGCTGTGGTCATACTATGGGACTTTGTAGTATCATCAGCAACGAGCTGAAAGCTAGAACCAAAGTCGAATTCATTGGAGATGGCCATTTATCTGGTCTACCCGTGCTAATTAAAGTGCAGTGGAGATGTTTGCTTCGGGACGTGATTTGCGGTTGCGCTCGGCTCGATGTACGTCCGCACTAACAGGTACCAGATAGTTTCCAGGTAGTTCTACTGCAGTACTGGCCTGACTGGGCTCACCTAAATTGAACATTTCTACTGGTGTTCGACTAATAACCAATCGTAACACCCTTATTACTTGCCTTGTTCAGTTGACAAAATCCTAAATAAGGACCTACTATTCCATTTTAAGCTGAGCGAAGCTTTTTTTTTATGAACGCCATGATCAACTTGTACCTGCCTTCCTAAGAGTCACTCACCTACAGAGTACCTGCTTGTTAGGCAGGGGCCTCCATGCCCCATATGCTAGTCCTTGCCGTCGGTTGCATCCGCACTTTCCTTTTGATATGAACCCAGGCCGAAAAATATCGCGAGGTAGACGGAAAGAGCACTCATGGCACGCACCGAATTGCTTTTCTAAAATCTGATACAAGTATCCCGAACAAACTTCATCCTTCGTCTCATGAATACAAAGCACCTTTGGTCTTAGTGATCGTCGATCTTCCAGGGCAACACCCACGAACTCGGTCGGACCTTTATGGCTAGTAGAAACCCATTCAAGACTTATTTGACATCTGCCAAACCCATGCAAGTCGAACTAGTCCACACCATCGCCAACTTCTCAAGCTTTGCCTCACTTGGACAACGGCTCGCACTCCAAGAACGAGCCCAATGATCGTCTGTGCGTTACTCCCGTTCTGCCTAGACACAGACGTTTTCGATACACACACGGATCTTTCTTGGTACAAACACACCTCTTTGTTCGGCTGAGGCCCTTTGCACAAAATTATTACGTATGGTCGATTCGACAATCTTTTGTTCAAACGTTTGATGTCGACACCGATCTGATAGAGGCCCGGCCCGAGCTACTCCATGATATGACCCGCTGAAACATCCGGCCTACAGTGATCAATTGGTGGAGCAGAGAGCGTTTGTCAGCACATTTTTACAGCTGGCAGAACCAGCACTTGGACACTATCCGTACGCTGTACATTGCTTTCACAAACGGGAGGCTTCCTACTTCAGAGTCAATATACGATCTTGTTTTCTAAATGCTCCGTCCCGTCTTTCCCACGGGTCGTCGTTTGCTCCACGTCGTGCCCGCTAATGACTCTTCACCAGGAACATCCCTGGGAAGCATCCAATCCTGTGATGAATTGGCGGTCAGAGAGAGATTCAAGAGAGGCTTGTCTAAAATGTCCTGCACGGCCATACATACTTACCACATCATCAGTCGGGGGCTGGTACACCGAGAAGACTGACACCAAGGCCCGTTGAGCAGCTAATAACCAATTCTGTTAGTTTCATGGGTCATGCCTTGTTACTTACGAGTTGTTGAGTGCGCATCATGCGACCAAAAGATGGTCTCTGCGCGCTGTTGCATCCGTACACTGGAAGCCGGGTAAGAGTCTGAAATGCACACACGCATGTAAAGACAGCAATCCGGGATATGAAATCAGCAGATGTTGAATAAAGAGCGTTAGAGTGGCCAAAAGCCTGGCTTTGCTTAGAAATGAGGCGGCTTCTTATGATGAGTTTATTGAGGCCCGACACTACTCGCGTTTGCGAACATGAATAACACCATAAGGCTTGGAGGTGTCACCTATTGGGTTCGTCAGTCTAGAAGTTTTGGATGTTCGACTCGAACTGCACAGCACGTTGAGGGTGGAGAATCAGACACGCTCAGGTTAAAGATGGCGTTACACGGAAGCCGTTGCTAGTGTGGCTAATGATGCAACAGCAGCGAACCATTGCCCCGCAGGCCTCTCAGATCGCATATCGCCATCCGTTTTCCTGCAATGCTTGATGAACTGGATGTTGCTATTACTACAGACCATCATAAGTCTGGCTCCCACATATAATAGGGCTTAGGTTCCGAGCCTTTCTGGGACTGCCACGTCGTCTCCTGCCCACAGCCAGAGAACAGAAGGCAGGGTTTCCACCTCAATGGGCGTCGTGACCGCCACACTACCTCCACCTCGATGAAGAATTTTCCAACTCATGCTTCCTTTTTCAGGCTGCTCGGCACGATTCCGCCTCTGTTGGGCTAACTGGCTAGGAAGCTGCCCTTTCGCTAAAGCATTACTTCCAACTCTTTGCATATATATGGCCTCGGGTTGCAAGGGTGATGTGGAGAGACGAACTAGATCTGCTGTCCAGGGCTCTGGCTCTGGCTCTGGCTCTAGCTCTTGGGCAGGCACGGTTAATGCTAAGTGTTTCTAGCACAAGAAATATGGCAGCAATGCACGCTGTCATCAACAGCAAGCCATGATGACGACTGGCATAAAATATCAGTTTGGTTGAAACGAGGCCAAGCCCAAGGCAATGACATCTCTGATATGAATTCATCCCAATGACGGCATACTAGATTCGGGCAGCTGATTCGGTCAGTGTAGGTGTCGATGCCTGAACAAAGACTCACCCATTCATTTGCTACTTCGACTTGCTTCTTCACACCTTTCTCTCACCGCAATGCAATTTTTCTGCGGCTATTGTTTATTATATCAACCTGCTAAAAGGGTACCTTGAAGTGCTGAAAGGGACGGACTGTTAGGCGGTGGGCGCGAGCCACGCTAACCCATCTAATCTCTACCATACACCATCAAAGGTTCACGGATGTGGCATTGCAGATTTCGCTCGGACAGGCCCTAAAGGCCACACTTCCTGAGACGAACCAAGGGCGAACCAAGGTCGAAACCGTGTGTCAAGTGAGCTGCGGCGCATGTGTATGTCTTCCTTCGGGCTATCTTCCAACCCACTGGTGGGCCAGCTTGCCAAGACTTGAATGGCTGGAACATTCTGAAGGGTCTCATGCATAGCACGCACGTTCCTGCGGAGAATTGGAGGTGGGAAGAAAGAAAGCCGGCAAACTCGGGGTTCATGAAGATACGTCACGAGCCTACTGATTGTCTCTGGAATAGTCTGTCCTCTCGGTGCTGGCAAATAAGCGCAGACCAAATTGCTCCGGCCTTGCTGAAGTGGCACGCTGTCCAAGGACGATAACTACGCAACCGTCAACCGAAGTATATCGCACGAAGCTCAACCAATACAACCATGCTCGTCTGCGCGCGTCATTCGCTTGCTCACTGAACCGAGTGTGTGGAGTCCCAACGACTGGATACCGAACGTAGCTAAATGATGGACAGAAACCAAAGTCCAGGATATTGCTACAATATGCACACTCCGTGTCAAACAATGGAGAGGATTGGCCAAGCTGAGCGACTACGGTAGGTACAGCACAGTAACAGTCGATCAGCGTGTTTCGAGACAGACGCTCCATAGATCGGGAGCTTACAATTATTCGTTATCAAGATACGTCGCTAGACGCCGGTCCAGATTTTTGAGCTATCTAGCTTTCCAACCTAATCCCCGCTCTCACGGCTTATACAATTTCCCTATTCTAAAGCGGTGAACGCTTACCATTTACCGACAAAGGTAAGAATAGTTTACAGGGCAAGACTTTGTCCAATAACTGTTGATTTACACGGGAAGACAGCGTGATCCGATAGGGAATTTGCAAATACACTACAGAAAACGCCTTGTCGACAACTTCCATATGTCCGACTGTCAATTCGACTCTATCACGTGGTAAACGTTTAACTTGGACGTCTGGCGTCCAGCGGCGTTTCTCTCTTCGCAATACGTCACGCATCTCGATGACAATCAGACAATGGCCTCTGCATCATCCACATCGATAACCGGGCCGGCCTTAGTGAGGCAATCTAGCAATTGGATGATAAGTGGCAGAACTTAGAAAAACCCAGATTCAGCCACTCAGTTTGGAAATCATCTGCTGCGAACCCTTGGTGGGTGGGATGTGACGTGTCATTGGGGGGACCCATGGAATAGACGTCAGGGTAAAGCGTTTCATCCCCGGCTGTTTGAACGGCAGCACGGCTCCTTGCATCTGAAGTCTGGCGTAAATTCAGATCTTAGTTCAGCTTGCGGAGTACCAAAACTTATCTCAATACTGGCAATCTTGCTACCATGTTTGTTCCGTTCGGATACTGTCAGCCCTATGCTGGTCAATTGAAGCACGTACACCCGCGATACAAAAGGACATGGCCAGCCATTAGTTGCTTAGCTTGCGGACAAGCTTGATCTGGGGGTATAACAGTCAAATCCATCGATAAGACAACAAACACAACACTGAGCTCAGATTATATGCAGGTCGGCCATGCCGCTACAGTTCCGCGTGTGGCAAAGCAAGTGCTGAGTTGTCATGTCTTTAACAAGGTACTCAGGCAGTCATGGTAGTGTATTCAGAGTCTACTTGTTGCCTTTCTTATCCTTGGCTGTATACAATATTAGACTGGGGAACCATGATCTACATGTTGGAGGGTAGACCGGTCCTATAGAAGTCAAGGGTCAACTATTGCCGACAACCAACGTTCTCCCGGCACCTTCAGCCGCAGGACTTATCCTTCAAATACGCCCTTTCTCGATTTTTCACTGCAGCGAGGGGCATCGTCCGCATAATTCAATAAGGATAAACCATGCAAGTTGTTTCGGATCCGTAGAACGGGAGTTGCAGACCCGGGCTGAAGGAAGTAACAGCGGCGGCGGAAGCCCGTACATCTAGTCAATATGAAGAACACAAGACTGGATCTATCAGATTTGGCTAGTGGAGTATGCAAGGTACTGACTAGAAATTGGTTCATACTATTACAGGAAGAGAAGAAGAAACGCTTTGGCGATATCGAAAGCTCAGATATGCCAGCCGGGTTGCGGATACTCAAGTAGTTGATGGGGTGTGCAGTTTGTCAAGATGGCTTCTGTCGATCAGATCATGGCTGAGTGTAGTCACGAAATGTTATTTACGACAAGCTATGCGTATCTCAGATCCGTATAACCTACAAATAGTTCTGAAACTAGGGTCCTTGGGCGATCTTTGGGTCTGGCATCCAGGTTCAGAGAGGCGAATGCGAACGATAATTGCCTTTTATCTCGGCAGCTGATGAGTTGCATACCAGATTCGAACAGGTATATAAATGCTTTTTATGGATCATCAGCTTTATGCCGTAATTTCGTCAATCCAGTAAACTTTCCGAGTTGGCCGACGCTTGGGAGGAGTTCGTTGGTTGGCAATAATGATGCAAGTTACGGTAGTTGCTTTTGTTTATACGCTTGTTTACTCCACTCGACCTATCACAGTGATACTAAGGTGAACTCGAGGACTATAATAGGTAACCAGAGGTGTGGTATTGTATATGCGGGTAATCTGGTTCGCACTAATTACCGTCTGAACATTCGGTACCCAGATGATAGTCCATCTATTAGTAAGAGCTTTTAAAGTGGTTAACTGCCTTTTTCTAGATCATGACGAACCAACCTATTAACATGATGATCCTGAATCCCTCCAGCAGAAAAAGAACGAACCAATCTAAAACGTTATATATGAGATATGATGGACGAGACTTTGTGTTTGTAATGCGTAAGCCCTGTAATATTTCGGTTCTGACCGGAGTTTACTTCTTTCTGTTTCTTTCAGTCTCTTTTAGGTTCAATTGCTTTTTTATTCTTTCTTTTTCTTATTTGCTAGACCTGCCTTAGCACACATTAGATGGGAATAGGTGTTTCCTTCGAACCCTGGGCTGCATAACCGTAACCCCACCACACTTACTCCAGTTCCATCATTCTCATCGTTTCTCAACCAAACAAAGGCAAAGAACGACAAGAAAGATAGCTCGACTTCTTTTTTCTTCCAACAAGGACAAGGACGAAAGACAAAAAAAAGACCACTTTTGGTTTATTAATCGGTGGGTGATTCTGAAATGCTATTTTTGATGCGGCGCAGGCGTCTCGCAATAATTCCCTGACCGCTGCCAGCACGCCCAGCCAAAAGACTAACTGCCTAAACAAAAACTTAGAGTTACTTACTGTACACACCGATATATCACATACCCCGCCAATCTTTTCACTATGGCAGATGTCCCGCTCGTTGTCATTTCTGAATTCGCGCAGTCGGAGCGTCGAATCACTCCCTCGTGGTCCATCTCCCAGCTCAAGACAAAGCTTGAGACTGTCACGGGTGTTCCACCGGGTTGTCAGCGACTTTCGCTGAAGCCTACAGCCGGCGCAGACGCTATCGCCATTGAGGCGCCTAACGAGGATGACACCCACTTGTCCAACTTTCCCCTGGCCCCATATGCAGAACTTCATGTAAGTCAGAGTGCACACAGCCTCTCTCATTTGTTCTTCTAGTACTGTACCTTTAGCCTTGACCTGCTGTTGTCTTGTCTTGTTTCCCCCCCTATATTCGCCGCCAGTTATCCTTTGCCTTTAGCTTGTTTCCCTTCCCAGGTCAAGGTTTCCAAGCTTCGTCAGCTTTTACGGCACTGTTTGCTGAGCTGGCACTTGGACAAAGTGGCGAAGGGGCGGGGGGCCGAGCGGGAGAGGCGGTGGACATACGTTGAGTTGTTTCGATCA